GCTAGCACTTGAAGAATTGTATACATAAAAGTAAGTTGTTCAAAGGTATTTATGTATATTCAAGAAAAAGATTTTTTTTCTAAAATTAACATATTTCAAGAGTCACGTTCATTTATTAAGTTTGATTTTATGTATGTGTGTTTTGAAAATGGTCACGTGTATGCGACAACAAATATAAGATAAGGATTTGTATGCAGTATATAATACAAAAGTGACAGATTCTGGATTTTGGGTTATGTTAGTCCTTAGTAAAAGCTTTTTTTTATTCTTTGGTCCGCATTATGCATAGTCCCAAGAATGAGGGAATAGAAAAGCACACCACAACCACTATTAAACACCAGTCAATCTAGGGTAGTTGTTTGGGGGTGTAGAATAGTATACAGACAGGTAGATATATACAGGAGACGCCATATTACTAGAAACAACCAGCAATACGTTATATAGCTTATCATAGTCATCCAATAGCTGTTCTTTTTGTAAATGGTTCTATTATAATCTATCTATACTATCCATCTCCATATATTTGGCGTGTGGTAGTATTTAAACCCTAGAAAACAGTGTTGTGTTATGGGCTTAATTTTTAGGCTTTATTGTTCTTGAGAAGTGGAGATTCAGCCTTGCATGGAGATGGTAGCGTATGATCATTGTAATTGTAGTTGTTACATATATTATGCATGAATGATATTACACATGTATTACTCACTTCTTTAAATTAGTTGAAGGTGATCATTTGATACTCCCATCATATCTCTTACATTATATTCTATAGATACATTCCCCTATTGTTGAAACTCTTTCTATTGTTAGTTTTAGTAAAGGAAGACTAAAATATAGAATAAGTTGATGAAAGAAATAAGAAAATAAGAAAAAAAAAGGAAAAAAGAAATTTTAAAATTAATTTTGGAAAACAGACACAACAATAACCAGACACACACACCACACAGCCAAAAAGGAGAAAGAGACAAAGGAAATTCATTTTTACAACCAACTAATCTACACAGAATTTATCACCAAACCTACAACAACAACAACAACAACAACTCACTAATTAACTAACTAACTAGCAAATAATCTCACTAAGAGATACCGCATAGAGACATTATAATAACTACTTACATATTGATACCTTTTGACTTTGACATTTTTTCTTTTTGTTTTGTTGCCTTATAATTTTTATTATATTTTATACAAAGATCAACTCATATCTATTCCCGGTCACCAAAAAACACCTCAACACCTCTGCACCATTTTTAATAGATCTCACATAGATTTACATATAACATCATATCACAGTTTACCTAAAATCAGGAAAAACCACACAGTTTTACCATTTTTTTTTTGAATGACGACTACATCTAGATATCAATCATCAGATAATTCAGATCACTCATTACCAACTTCAACAATAGCAGATGAAAATACTTCATTAACTGATTATTACGATGATGATGTAGAAGAAGAAAAAGTAGAAGAAGTAGAAGAAAAAGTTGCTAATGATACCCCGATGACTACTTCAAATTCACAGAGGGATGAGTCAGTACATAGTAATCACAACAGCTGTCAAAATCATAAGGATAACCACAACTACAGTCGTCACAGCCCTGACAATAACAAAATGCAGTACAGCAACAACAACAGCAACCCCAAGTCTCCTCATTTCCAGCCTCCAACGTTTACGTTAGGCACAGAACAATCAAATAGAATATTTCCACCGATATCTACATCTACAAAAAGAGTTGCATCGCCACTATCTAGATCACCAGTCATAAAGGCAGTACAACCACAACACCCACCTCCTCCAAATATATGCCCTCTTCCTCAACCACAACGACTTGAGAACAATAAAAAGACTCCGTCGTCGGAACAATTTGCACCATCGCCTATTCCCCGAGTAGTTGCACACCATGATGAAGAGGCTACTACATCACATCAAAAAGATAACAATTTAGAAGATCTTTTGAAATTTCCATCAGAATCGTCACATGCTTATTCGTACGCTCATTTATCACCCAATTCGTTAGCTCTTCGACTTAATGTATTGAAACGATCATTAGAAATCTTAAAGGATAGACCAGAATTATTTAAATCGATAACCAATCAAGACCACTTTGAGCAAGAATCAACCCCTTTGCAACGATCAATTACCAATACAATTATAGACGACACTTCGATTATGGATGGAGCAGTAACAACTACAACAACAGACTCAGAATTATCAGCAAATACAAGTGGCACAGTCAGATCAAGTATCTTTTCCCATCCCAATCATAGTGCTGATTATATACATGATGTATCGTCACCTACAACCGCATCCAATAATGCTGACAAGAAGAAATATAAACTTCAATCAAATGCATCCTCAGCTGCATTGGCAGCTTTGTTTAAACCAACACTACAAAGATCCGACAGTCTTCCAATTGTGACAAAAGATGAAAGAAAGTTTTCAGCACCGCCAAATTTACAACAAGGGACCATTAACGAGAAGAAACAGCAGCAGAAGCAGCAGAAACTAATAGGCTCAAATGATGATTATAAAGACATTATAAACTTGCTAGAACACGACTTGGAATCTTTAATGGAGAATACCCAGGTTGCAACATCCCTACATGACTTGTCACTTTCTACTCCTGAAGACCAAGGCAAAATCAAATACGATCTTTTGAAAAAGAAATTGATTTATGCTCTAGCCATGCCATTCGTTGAAAACTCAGCGGTGACTTCGGAATTATTAGAAAACAGCATTAAAGAACCATCATCTACTAAATCACCAATGTCAACGACGTTTTCTACAGTTGCATTGAATGAGCTTTCGAGAATTGCTCAAATGAATGACAAGTCACTGACCCAATCGCCAACGACTCCAACCACCAAACAAGAACAATTTAATGCAAAAAGGCCATTCAACTCAATGCTTACAAGCAAGTATTCCTCACCGCAATCAATCTTTACTGTTGAAGCTGATTTACCATTTTCAGTCAAAGCGGCAAATGATTTAGCATGTCTTATGTTTGGAATATCAAAAACAACTATAAAAGCATTGACTTTAATGGATTTAATTGCTCCACAATTTCGCGATTTTGTATTGTCAAGAATAACCGAATACACATTTGAAAATAGTCGTAAAGACTCCATATTGTTCGCTGGGGAGATTGTTGCTATTGTTCGGCCGGGTGATCAAAATTATTCTTGGACGTCACTTTGGGCAAAGAAAAAGGGCAATTTGATCATTTGCATGTTTGATCAAATACCATGTGATGCATTTGATGTGATTATTCTGGGGGCTAGCAAGAAAGATGAAGGCGGGTTTTTCGAACATTCGTATGCAGTTGATAGTTTCCATGAGATTGCTGGTGGCTTGGCTTCTGAGTATGGGCTAGACAAGGCAGGGACATTAAGTGCACTAAGCGAAACAATAAGCAATGAATTGATGAATTATGGGTCTGGTTATGACGAGGAAAAAAGTGCTGCTCAAGATAGTGAGTTTATTAATTATACCAGGTACTTCACATTACAAGTGGACCAAGGAAACGAAAATATCCCCTGTGCCATCACTTCAACCGCACTTCTGTTGGATGATGATTCCGAATCACAGATTAAATTGAAGGTCCACACGATGCCCTACATTGCCGGAATTTTCGTTTTAGATGCCAAGGACTTCACTATCCTATCATGTAATAACGCTATAGCCAAAAATTTATTTGGCCGATCGGCAAAATATTTGCGTAATCGTGGCATTGATGAATTGATCCCTAATTTCACCAAGATTTTGCAAGTTGGGCTTGAAAAAAATATCGAGACTTTCCAAGTTGTTAATGGTTTAGTATTACCTGAACATTTCTTTAGAAAATACGATTCAGTTATAAAGTATCAAGAGCAAGCTGACGCAGAAGGGTCTGAAGAAGACATTTTTTTCAAATGCCCCGGAATTGAAGGTAGGCACCGTGATGGCAAGACGTTATTCGTTGATGTTCAGGCTCGTGTGTCTATTGATAATGCATTAATCTTGTGGGTGACGTATTCGCGAACTAAAAGAGATAGCGGCTTAGGCACCGAGTTTGAAGCTTTGAGCTCTTCAGCTTCATCAATGTCTCTAGCTTCAGCTGATGAGCACTCAGAAGTGTCAATACCATCACGAACGCAAACGCAATCGAATTTGTTGCACCATCAGGATAGCATACAAATCCCTCATGTGCAGCAGCAGCAACCTCATTATCAACATTTACACCCACATCATGCGGCTCTTGCTCGTACCAGGACCCATACTGGCGGCTCGACCGCTTCTGCCAACAATATCCCTTCACAGCGTAAATTGTTTGAGGATGGTAACGAAGAAGACTTATTAGAATTCTCCCCAAGAGAAGTGACACGGTCACTGAGTACCCGAAGGGTAAAGACTCTGTCGTTTGCCATGCCCTTTAACAAATTGGATAGTTTTATTTACAAAAAAACCAAAGCTGATGAAATTAGAGAAGCAGATACTAGCAAGTCCCAGGATACTGAGTCGATTGAGCTGAAGGATAATATAACTCCCGATGATTTGGATTACAATATTCCATCGTCAGCATATTCGGAAGAGGAAATATTGGCGTTGGAAAACCAATCATTAGCGACAATTAAATCCGAATCGACGCATTGGCCCGATCAAGTTGGATTAACGAGACGTACCAAGAGGTTTTCCGAATTTAAGATTCTCAAACAAATGGGTGAAGGTGCTTATGCCAAAGTCGTGTTGGCTCAACATAAAGACGACCCCGTGTACAAAATCATTATTAAATGTATCGATAAAGAAAGAATTTTGGTGGATACATGGGTGCGAGACCGTAAGTTGGGTACTATCCCTAGTGAAATCCAAGTCATGGCATTTTTAAATTCAGAGCCTCATCCCAACATTATTCGAATAATTGACTTTTTTGAGGATTCAAAGTACTATTATCTTGAAACGCCAATTTTTGGTAATCCCCCGGCAATTGATTTGTTTGATTTCATTGAAGTTAAAAAGGATCTTTCTGAATTTGAATGTAAATTCATTTTCAAACAAATTGTATCGGCAGTGTATCATTTACATAAAGAAGGCATTGTTCATCGTGATATTAAGGATGAGAATATCATTGTTGATGAAAAGGGGTTTATCAAGTTGATTGATTTTGGGTCTGCTGGGTATGTGAAACAAGGTCCATTTGATGTTTTTGTTGGCACCATTGATTATGCCTCGCCTGAAGTGTTGCGTGGCGAAAAATACGAGGGGAAACCGCAAGATATCTGGGCATTGGGGATTTTGTTGTATACCATGTTGTACAAAGAAAATCCTTTTTATAACGTTGATGAGATTTTGGAAGGCGATTTGAGGATTCCTTATGTTATTAGCGACTCGAGTTTGTGTTTGGTTAAACGGATATTGGTTCGGGATGTTGAAAAGAGACCTACAATTAGTGATATATTTGAAGATACATGGTTGAAGTTTTAGAGTAGACGAGATTGACTTTTTGTTCTATTTGAGATATGTGTAGAGGATATGTTATAGTTTAGACTATTTTTAGATAAATTAAAGAGATTGTGATAGAATACTTTTCAGGGTATAAGGTGTAGTAGTCTGATGGCAGAGGTGGTGGTGCTGTGATGTAGTATTTTATTTAAGATGCGCGAATCTGTTTTGATACAAAAAAAGAGTTTATTCTTCAATCAAATGAGTTGCACAGGTTAGCACACAATCTTCCCCATACCATGAACAAAGAAGTGACAGAAGAAGAAGAAGAAGAAGAAGAAGTCACCAAAGATGTAGCTGCAATACCTGACACATTCAAAATACTAGATTCAAGCAACAACATTGAAATTGTCATTTCACCAATTCACATGATAAATTTAAAATCAATAATCGATGTGATTCCTACACAAACATCACTACAGTCACATCAAAGTCTATTATCGGAACTCTCAAATGATAAGAATAATACTACCATGGTGGAATCAGTCTTGCACATTTTCAAGAGTGATAAATTTAAACTACGATGCGATGGATATTGGTTGTGCAAGTTGAAGTTTAAAATTGATGATAAATTCAATCATTGGGGTGTTGTTTTCCCCATAGTTGGTATTGCTGAGAAGGAAAATGGCGATGGGTGTAAAAGTTGTGGCTATTTTGGTGTTTTCAAAATAAATGAACTTATTTCTGAAGATAAACTGGCCGATTACATGTACCCAATTTCAAATGAGGCAGATTTGATAAATGCAAGTAAAGAAACAGCCGAGTCCACCAATTATATGCCAAGGGAGATGTTTGAAGACACTATGGAATCATTTTCCATGAAGCCACCAGCATCAATGGTGCACAAAACGGCAAAGGCCAATGCTGGCCATGACAATGAGTGGTCGAATGTCATTTCTTCGTCTCCATCTAAACGTGAAGAAAGTCACGATCCAGTACAATTTCTAACTAATCGATATTACCATTCATTGTATTCGTTGAATGAACCATTGAGTTATTTCCCTAAGACTGCACTAACTCGATTTAAGAATCTTTGCCTAGCAAATGAGGCGCTGATTTTGGCCGTGCTTGATACATTTATTTTATCCATGGACAAATTTGATCAACGGTATGATGGGAAATCAAGTGGGGGGTTCTTCATTAATGATGAGAATTTATCTGAATGTGAAGTAAGGCATCAGGGAACATTTAAAGAAAGACTTGGGTTTAGTGTGGAAAGAAAAACTACAGAGGACGGTAACGCTGGTAGGAAGAAGAAGGAGAACATAGAATATGAGAATGGTGAAACAGGCAATGTGATAGTTTTGGATGGGATTGACAATGATAAACTTCAGAAATTAATCTTGGAATTGAAAATTCGTGAAGCTCAATTACAAATTATCCTCTTGTTTGAAGTTTTCCAATCTATGAGTATAAATGAAGATGAGTTTTTGGCTCATAATTTACAAAAGCTGAATGAGTTGTTGAAGCAAACTCAAGATCAACAAAAGGTGAGTTTAGTCCGGGCTAGGAAAAAGAGAAAAATCAACAAGTCCGAAGCTGGTGATGACATAAAGAGCAAGAAACGAGTTAAGCCAACAACTTTAGTGGCTACTGCATCTTCTACGCACGATGAGCTGAAAAAGAATCGAGAATTTTCCTATTATCTGTACTTGAACAAGTTGATTGATCGGTTGAATTTGTGGGAAGTATTAGTGTCAGAAGATAAACATGATAAACGTGATAAACGTGATAAGCATGCTGGTAATAATGCTTCGTCTAGTTATGGATTTATGGCGTATGTGTTGGTGCCATACTATAGTAAAACTTTACCAGTCTTGATGAAATATGTGATTCAGAATATGAAAAACACAAATATGAAATTAACCACTAATCATAAGAAAAAAAAGAGCAAGAAAAAGACATCCCCATCTTCGTCTGGTACAGTTGCTGACAATGATGATGATCCCAAGCAGCAGTCAAAAAGTGGTAAAAGTGGTGGCAGCGAAAAAACAAAGCCTAAATTGGAAAGAAAACCACTTCTTAGCAATGATCATCACCTAATCAAGGATATTTCTATAGCTTCATTAAAACGATCCAAATCAAGTATTGGCCAATCATCTCGAGATTTGGACAAGCGACAAGTTGACTTGAATTTCAAACAGCCACTATTGAAGAAACAAAATAGCCAATTTGGGGACGATAGTACTAAAGCGAATGCAACTTTTTCGGCGTCAACAGCAGCATCCTCATCATCTTTGTTTATTTTTGGTCAGGCAAAGCGTAGCAAAAGTATAGCAAATGGGGAGAAACCAGGATCGAATTCGGTTGTCAATGTTGCAGAGACGCCAATGAAACCGGTACGTGGTGACACATCAACGCATGGTCCTGGTGCTGTTGGTGCCGTTGGTGGCAATTTGATGAAATCGTTTTCGCAAATTGAAGCTACACCGGCTAAACAAAGGGTTGTTGATTTGGAAGTGTTTACACCTGTGAGTAACGCTGTATCGAAATCCAATGAGAGTAGCACCCACCAGAATCAAGTTACAAGTTCGATTTTCACCAGTCCTGCAAATGGTGATGGAACTGAAGACGGTAGTGTGCCATTTTTGAAACCTGGAGCAAGTCTGATGACTCAGCGATTACAATCCGCTGCTGCTGCTGCAACTTCTGTTGCTACTTCTGTTACAACTTCTCCCCATCAAGGGAGTGATGTTGTAGTAATTGAAGCAACGCCAAAGCGACAAAGAACAAATGAAAGTGCCACATATACCTCACCAAATGATATGGTTGTTGAGGCTACACCAATACGTAATGGTGTAATTGAGCGAGGAACTCCTAAAAGAGAGAAATATCTAAATCCATCAATCATACAAGCTACTCCTGTGCAAAATGCGAGTAAGTTGAATTCGTTGCACAATACTCCTGCTGTTTCAATAGTGGAAGCTACACCGAAACAACAGCAACAACAGACAAAGCATTCACAGTCACCATTCTTGAGACGTGCTGAAGGTACTAACGAGTTTAAATCTCCCATAGCGCGTACATCCACCTTGTCCTCATCACCGCTGGTTCACAAAACCAAACCAGGTGATCCAATCGCCATTTCTGAGTCGCCTATATATAGTGCCTACGCCGCCACGGGGTTGTTATCATTAGATAGTGGTGCACAAGAGAAGGGTGAAGAAGATGACATTGGCTATGATTCAGATGAAATTCTCAATCCCAAGAAAAAGAAAGCAAGAGCCACGTATTCAAGACGATGATTTTTAATAGTTTTAATGTATAATGACCCCCATATTTTTTAATGAAATAGAATTATAATGATACATTGTTGTATTTTCTTATTTTGTTTTATACTGCTACTTCACCAAAAAATATACCTCTCGCTATATCTTTTGCATCTGGTTGGTTCAGCACCAAGTCAGCCAATGGTTGGCCAATTCTTTGTTTTAATTTCTCCTTAATTTCATCCGGTACCTCACTAGATCCGTCATCTACTTCCATCTTATCGGTATCGCCATCGTCACTAGCAGCGCCTGTATCGATTTTAACACTCAATTTTCGTAGTATGTCAAGCACAGTATTGATCAAAATGTCTCGTTCAAATTGTGATTGATTCAGTTCAATTACTGACGAATACCAAATTTTCAAATTACCAACAAGGACCAATTTCAACACTTCATTACCGAAATTCTTCAATCCCAACAAGGCTCCATAATGAGTTCCCACTGGTTTGGTCGAATCAAGCAATGCTCGCAATAACGTTCGAGTTACTCTTGGTCTTAAGGTCGAATATGATGATCCATGGACTTTAATTATATGTTCGAGCAAAATAGCAGCAAATTCACGTACTGCCAACTGGTTCCGCAAACTTTCTTGGTAATTGTCGGCTGATTCTTTAATAACAGGCCCAATACGTTTTGCCAATAATAAAGTCAAGATGCATGGCATTAGTGCATGGACATAAGGGTCAAGAAATATGGTCTTGTTATCAGCCAAAGCCGATATGACTTCCAACATGGTTGATAAGATTTCGATGTTTCTCAATTCATTGGTTATTTGTTCGGCTACAAATTGAATGAAGTAGGGCACTAATTGATGTAAACCGGGGTCGGATTTCAATGACGCCAATGCGGCATTTTTCAAACTCTCCTTTTCAGGGTCAGTCGATATTAAAACCTCAACCACTTTGTCGAAATACAATTTCAATTCTTTTGAAAGAACGTGTTTGACTAACGGTTTAGTGTCGAATTCTTTATCGGTTGGATTCTTATTCTTTGTAACATCATCTTGACCATCTTGACCATCTACCGCATTTGTTGAGCTACTTCCCAATGTCAAAATATCATTACCTAAATATGACGAAGTAGCACCGCGAATTGCTGGAGGTAAGCTTTTAATTTCCGAAGGTAATGGGTTTTGAGGAACTATAGGTTGAACTCCTTCAATAGCTAACCAATGAGCAGTGAAGTTGCATCTTCGTGGAACTTTGGGTAATTCCTGATTAATCAATTTTTCAAATTCAATTTCTTGGTCATCGAGATAATACAATGTTTGTCCCCCAGCTCCCACCATTGTCTCTTTGAAATTCAAAGGTTGGGAATTATCATACCCGTACAATGGTTCAACGTTTAGTATCTTCAACGCATAGTCTATATCTGAAGTGGTTAACATTTTTCGTTTCGAATGGCGCATGAATTTTATAGCCAATTCAAGGATCTCATGAATTCGGTACTCAACATCCATAGCAAGATTCTTGGCTGCTTCATCGGGTAAATTTATCCCTAATGAATCGGCTGAATCTTTTACTGTGTCATATGGTGACCATAATGAGTGTGATAATGGAACTCTTGCATCCATAGTATATGTGTGTGTTTGGATGAAGTCTAATTGGGTTGATTGATCGATTATTGTGTGTTGTTTTCGCTGTGAAATTCTTCTTTCAGTGTGCAAAGATTTTGTGCGTTCGGCACACGACAGTTTTTTGCTTTACCAAAGTGTGCACCAAAGTGTAACACATGAGACTTGGGTGGTTCTCACTACTTGAAGTAGTATTGAAATTCATAATATCATGTTAGACGATCTCTATGTACAATTAATTAGGTATTAACAAAAGTCTATATAAAGTACTTTCCACACGCTCTTCTTTTTCCCTTCTCTCTCTCTCTCTCTCTCTCTCTCTCTCTCTCCCTCTAGTCAAGTAATCTAGGATTAGCATCGGTTACCTTTTTCGATGCAGCTCTATAATTAACATTTTCTCTCAAATGTTGGAAATGAGGAACCTCAATAGCAACTTCATTGCTGAAATGGGGATCTTCTTCAGTAGTTATCCTTGATACTTGTTTATAAACATTGGCATCCTTAATCCAACTTCTAATAAAATTAACACAAGCTCCATTATGTTGCATGTAATTTTTATAAGCTTTAACAAGTGAAAAATACAATCCTAACCTTTCATCTGATTTGTAGTTTTCAGCAAATGCAGTGGCAGCTCGAAGTGCTGACCAATCAGCATTGGCAATATATTTGTAATTTTCAGCATCCAACTTTGCCAACAAATTATTCCACAACTGTAAAATTTCAGGTACGGAGTAATCAACTTGTCCCGCTTGTTTTAAAATGACACGGTGGGAAATGATACTTTTTTCAACATTGAATTTGTCAAAAGCGTCAATAACATCCTGTGCTAAACTCTTTTCTGTCCATTGCATATTCGAAATTAAGGTGTTTAAGAAAACTTCATCAATTTTAGGGGCTTTAGTAAAAATCAATTTTAAAAGCTTGATTGATTCTTCATTTGGTTCAGGGTACTTGTTGAAGAACAATTTAAATAAGCCGGCATTGATAGTGGCCAGTTTTGATGAGCTAGTGGCAGCACTCGTTTCACCATAATGATTCGAAATACGACTCCATAATTGGATCACATCCTCCATTGAATCACCAGCATTGACACAATTTTCCAAGAATGAAACCATATAAGGGGCTTTTAAAACAACAACATAAGGCAAGGATTCGGCGTTGTCGACAGCCCTGTCAAAAAATCTCTTGGCGATAACAACATCTTTACATTGTCCAATAAATGATAAATGCAACTGAGCTAAACCACCCAAAATAGATTTTTCTTGAGGATTCTTTTCATACAATGCCATTAAGTCTTCCAAGGCATCTAAACCCCTAGCATGATCGCCTTCATTAATGGCAACTTGTCCAATTCTATCAGATAAGAATGGATGAACTGGCTCATTTTCATTGACACTCATGTTATAAATCAGTTTGATTTCTTCGTAATTAAATCTCTTTGTCTCATAAGCCACTTGAAGTACGATCGACAAGACATCATGACTTAAATACAATTGACCGATACCATTACTTGATTTTTCTGATTGACTAACTCCGTTTTCCCATAAACTCATAATTTCTGTATTCAATTTGAATTGCAACAAAGTTCCAAATATTTTGAATAATATACGACTCGATAAGACATTGTTGAAATCTCCAGCAGCAACCAATTCCATGAGGTTTAATACAGCTGTTTGATAAACGACATCTTCTTTAAATGCGTCAGCCTGATCTTTGTCTCTATTTCTTGAGTTACCTAATCTAGTTTTCCTCAGGGTTATGGTGGCGCTATATAAATTTGCAGTGTATCTGTACAAGTCCTTTTCACTCATTTGACTTCTAAACTTTTCATCTTGAATAAGGTTAGAAATCTCTTCAATATCTTGGTAAGTAGAACTGTCTCTTGGAGTCCAACGTTTGGCATAATTTGGTTGATGATGCTTATGTTCATAGTAAGCAAACTTTTCTTTATAATCGTTGGAAATAGGTTTCTCTTGGAATGAAGACAGTATAGTAGCGGAAGCGGAAGCAGTGGAGTTATTTCTAAAGAATAGCTTTGAGTCTAATGCAGCAGATGGTTGGGGTGTTGTTGTTGTCGTCGTAAGTGAAGAAGCTGTGGGAACACCAGATCCATTCTTGGCTAGTTTTATCTTCAGGATTAATGAGGGACGTAACCCTTGCGAAGTGTTTATTAATCTAAACATTGTGTTTCAGTTTGGTTGAGGGATATACACAAACACTCTTTTGTAAACTGATAATGAAAGATTGTTGAATGTATATATATATATATATATGTTTATGTATATATGTATTTGCTTTCGTATAGAAAATAATTTTCTTTCTCTTCTTTCCCTTTTGGTAATTTCTTTTTTCCTCTTGTCATTTACTTCGACCTAATAACAGCCATTTGAAAGTGAGTGTTTATATACAGGAGACAAAAAAGAAAAACAATATAGAATATACACTATACACTATACACTATACACTATAGAATATCACCTGTTTTTTTTTCTATAGTATGTCTATATATTCTACATTCTTCTTTTTAAAATTATCAGCCACCTTTCCAACCACTTACTACTTTAAGTTAGACAGTCATCCGTATCGCGTTAATCAATCGGCTATGTTCTCCTTTAAGTATTATCTAAGACCAATAAAGCCATAAATGTTAATGACTCAACATTTTTATTCTCTGTTGAGTTGTTGGGGATAAAACATCTTTAATCACCTCATGATGCAAAAAAAGGAGAAAAGAAAGGAACTAGACTATAATTCAAACAATAAAACACCATCGTATAACCCAACATATTTGATTAAAATGATAAAAGACTCGTGTCTATCCAATATGCTCTTTCCTACTTTTGCAAAAAATCAAATGATAGGTAGCGACCAAGTGCTACCAACTTCAATTTCCTGTGGTACTCTTTTTTTTTTTTTTACCCTCTTCCAGCTTTTGACCACCAAATATCATATCAATAAAAGCACTAGATTCACAGCTTACAGAGAGTGCTTTGGAACATCGCATAGATTTAGTTTGTGTGTAACAATATTACGCTGAAAAAAAAAAGCATAGAGTCAGCTCCTAAAATGGACACCAATACTAACCGTTTAAATGCTAAAGACCTGAAAGAGGAAATCTTGAGAAAGCGACGTGAACAATTGGCAGCATGGAGAGAAAAGAAGCAACAAGAAAATAAGCAAGCATCGGAGTCGCCACCGGTGAACTCTTCCGAAAGCGATTCTTTGGAAGCAGAGAAGAAACTAAGACAACAAAGACTTGAGCAATGGAAAAAGTCACGTTGTCAAAAGGATAGCAGCTCTACACCATTAGCGGCTGCTCCCAACCCAAGGATCAAGATATTCAAAAAACAGCCAACTGCAACTCATAAGCCCCAAATAAAGAGAACATTTGATGAATTCGAATTTGAAGAGGAGGACAGCCAGAAAAAGAAACTTAGATTGGTTGCACCCCCTTCTGCTTTTGGAAACCAGAATGAAGCTGACGACACAAAAGAACTGAAGTCTGATGATGAACTCGATGCATTTATGAAATTAATTGACACAAAGAGCAATAAACCTGAGACAAATGGGGCCATGCCAGATATTCAAGTAAATTCCACCGACGATGAAAGTGCTGGTGAGGAAATGGACCTACAACATTTGATTGACTCAAAGTTGGCTAAATTAAACAATACTACGAAAGAGTTGAAAGAAATCGATCACTCGCAGATACAGTATCCTTCTTTTAGAAAGGATTTTTATCAAGTACCTTTTGAATTGCTGACAATGTCTGACGACGAAATGAGCTTGTTAAGGTTAGATCTTGATGATATAAGAGTCAGGGGAAACAATGTCCCACCTCCGTTAACCAAATGGACACAGTTGCTATTACCGGAGAGTATGATGTCCGTAGTAATTGATCAATTACGATTTAACAAGCCATCACCGGTGCAGTCACAAACTATTCCCGTAATTTTATCTGGCCGAGATTTGATTGGAGTTGCCAAAACTGGATCAGGCAAAACTTTATCATATGTGCTTCCTATGATGAGACATATACAGGAACAGCTACCGCTGGCTAGTGGGGACGGCCCTATTGCTGTAGTTCTTAGTCCCACCCGAGAACTAGCTCTCCAAATTGAGCAAGAGGTTTTAAATTTTGCAAAGAAGCTTGATAAAAGAGTGACTTGTTGTTATGGTGGATCCAAGATTGAAAATCAAATAAGTGATTTGAGGAGAGGTGTGGATGTGGTTGTTGCAACACCGGGAAGAATGATTGATTTGTTAGCGGCAAATGGAGGTAGAGTGACATCAATGAGACGTACAACGTTTGTGGTGTTGGACGAAGCTGACCGAATGTTTGATTTGGGGTTTGAACCTCAGATAAGAAAGATTCTATCACAAGTGCGGCCAGACCGACAAACTGTGTTGTTTTCTGCTACATTTCCGAGAAAGTTGGAACTATTGGCCAAGCAAATTTTATCTGACCCCGTGGAAGTTATTGTTGGGGGTATTGGTGTGGTTGCTAAGGAAATTAAACAAGAAATTGTGCTTCTTCATGAATCAAGTGATGATTACTTTCAAGAGAGGATCAATTTGCTACGAAACTGTGTGCTGGACCATTTGCAAGCCGTTGAAGATAGCAAAGTGCTTGTATTTGTTGAGAAACAAGTGGATGCAGATAAGCTAGTTTCCAATCTAATTAGCCATGGGTTACCATGCGTATCAATACACGCAGGAAAGGAACAAATTGATCGCAAATATGCCATCAAGGAGTTTTCAGCACCCGATAGTGGCGTCAACATCTTAATAGCAACATCTATTGCTGCTCGAGGACTTGATGTGAAGAATTTGGGATTGGTTGTAAATTTTGACCCACCAGGCCATCTTGAAGATTATGTCCACCGAGTAGGTCGTACTGGAAGAGCCGGTGCTAGTGGTACTGCCATAACGTTTGTGTCCAAGGCTCAAGAAAGGGAGATAAATGTATTGGTAAAGGCGTTAAAGTTGAGTTCCAATCAAGTTTCTCCCGAGTTGCAAACTATAGCTGATTCTTTTAATCAGAAGGTGAAATCGGGGGGAGCTAAAGTGGGCTATGGATTTGGTGGTAAAGGGTTGGATAATTTACAAGAGGCACGTGACAACAAGCTAAAGATGGAAAAGAAAATGTTTGGGGAGGAAGCTGAGGAGAAGGATAAAGAAAAGGAGAAGGAGTCATCCGTCAGCAAGAACAAAGAAGACTCGCCATCTGTCATGACTCTCCCCTCGTTTGAGATTGTCGAAGGTAATTCTCCAGAGACTGCCGGGCCAGACAAATGTAAATTTTTCTGTCGAATTACGATCAATGATTTGCCACAAAAGGTCAGATGGGATGTTGTGCAACGGGAACAATTGTCCAAGATCATTGAAGGTAGTAGAACATCCATTACTACTAAAGGTCAATTTTATCCAGCAACCCATAAATTAAATGCTGCCAAAGATACAGAACCAAAGCTTTATCTTTTGGTTGAAGGGTTGACTAAGAAATCAGTTGAGGATGCAATTTCCCTAATAAAGGAAAGAATGTTTAAGAGCATTGAATCAATAAGTGCTGATGATCGTGGTGCTGCTACTGGTAGGTATACAGTATAGAGTATCGTAGTGGGGTTAATTACGGAGTCTAGTTGCACATTTAATTCTTTTAGGTCGTGTAACTCCGTCTTTTCCATGTATTGCGGAGTTAATGGAAGAAACCAACACTCATTAAAAATGGTTCTAAGACCGAGGAGATAAGGTAGCGTTTACTCTGCTTCAAATGGGTAGTTCCAACAAATATGCTCTCAGTGATGGTGCTAGTAGTGGGATTGTGGTCGCCATTTTGACTGAGCTGCTAAAGTCTACGTAATTTCTGTTAAATCTCTCAGGGTATAACAAGACGTACATTTGTGGAAAAATAGTCACATGACGCATTTTTAATTATGCAGATTATTCCGAAACGGTAACCTTTTAAGTACTGCACTTCTAACGAGTTACAGTTATCAAGCATATATTAACATGCTCCTACGACAACATACTAGTGCTCCTCTGTGCTTTAAAAGTTCTGCCCTGGTGTGGCATAATTAGAGTAAGACAACCCCACAATTTCTTACATGCTCGGTTAAATAGCAGCGCAGATAAAATAAAAAAAATATAAAACTACAGCAATTAGGCAAAGTCAAAATAGAATTAATCTTTTTCATCCAACATTTATAGCAGTATTCACCTCACTAGACAAAACCCTTTAACAGATAAGCTATACCCATAACCTGCCACCATGCCATTTGATCCAAAAACTTACACCAAGTACGAGTTCTTCACCGTTAGCACACTTGATGAAGGAGTAGCACACGTTCAATACACCAACCCCAAAACCCTTAACGCATACACTAATCAAAACTGGAAGGATTATGCCGAAATAATAACTAGATTGGACAAGGAAGAAGACATTTCTGTAATTGTTATTTCCTCGGGTGTTGCAAAATCTTTTTCATCAGGGTTGAATTTAAAATCAGCAATGGAGATGGGGAAGCCGGATTCATCACCAGAGAAGGAGAGAATCCAAAAGTTGCACGATTATATTATAGAATTTCAAAATGCTTGTACTGTTCCAGCCCGTATCAATACGCCAACCATTGGTATTTTGAACGGTATCAACTACGGTTTGGCTATTGATCTCGCCAGTGCTTATAGTATTAGAATTGGAGTTGAAGGCGCTCGCTTCTCTATTGCTGAAGTCAACATTGGTATTGCTGCTGATATGGGGTCATTACAAAGAATGCCAGGTATTGTCAATAACCAATCGAGACTTTTCCAACATGCTTTACTTGGGGATGTGTTTGATGTTAAAGAAGCTGCTGAGTTGGGTTATGTGAGTACAGTTGTGAAATCGGTTGAGGAAGGTCTTCAGTTGGCTGAGGAATGGGGATCCAAGATGGCACAAGTTCCACAATGGGCTATCAAAGGTACTAAGAAACACATTCAGGACATTTTGAACGGAACTACTACGGAACAAGGGTTGCTTGATATTGCAGACTACAATGCTAAACATATTGCACGTGGTATGAAGTTATAAGTAGTTACTTAGATGAATTTGAGTTTTATTTTTAGCTGTTTCCTCTTAGTCTTCTATTGAAACATCATCTGGTAGCGAGTGAGATTTCTTTTTCTTGAAAAGAAAAAAAATTGATTGGAAAATTTTCAACTTTGAAGTTAGCGATAGGCAATTGACAAGTCACAAATGACACCCGTTTTAAGATATGGACCGAGACAGAGGGAGATCTTACACAGGATATCTCGCAACTACTCGTCATACAGTATCAGTGTCAACGAAACTGTAACTCGAATTCAGGACACTACTGAGTCACAAACATCCAGAACAAAAACGCTGCTAGATAAAACGACACTTGCAAGCATACCGTCTAAAAATTTAACCGAGTCATATGAACTAGGCTCTGTTTTTGCGTCAAGTATCCAACAGACAAGAGACTCGCAGATCAAGAATGAGTTGATCATGTTGACCGAGCAGAAAAGCTTTAAAAAATTGGCCAACTTGTTGGAAACTTGGTCTATGCATGATATTGATGGCATGGTTAAAACTTTGGGTAGGGAGACCCTTGCCCAGTATTTGAATTTAATAATTAAAGAAAATAGAAAACGATATGTCAAAAAGTTTTCCCAATCACCAATACAAAAATCAAGTAGACTGATGAAAATAACTGACAAGCAGAGAGACCCCAGTGATTTCATAGTTGAAGGCCAATTAACGAGACAAATAAGAAATACTTACCGCAACTTGATATACAATAGTCGCAATGAGCATTTTTATCACAAGGAACGATCACAAGACATTTACAGCGGGAATCATTTGACGGGGTACAAGTTGACACCGAGTGATTTTGAAAACTTGATGGAACTCGAATTGGGAAACTACAAACTTGACTTGGCTTCGAGATGGTTCCACATTTTCTGCAAGCAGTACGATGTAGGGCAATGGAAGCAGCAAATGACTCCCAAGTTATGGACATTGGCTTTCAAAATTGATGGCATGGGGGATAACAAATTTTGGACAATCAAGGCGACTGAATTGTCAAGTTATTACAAGAACCCACTCAGAAGTCGATTCAAGCCTCGAATGAAGTTTGGTTTGTCAGATGTTAAATACGGCTTATATGATCTTGATTTGGAGTTCCATACTGCTGTCATTCAGTCTCTTGCTTATGCTGGGCAACTAAATGATATGAAATCGTATGTGCTGCGGATTTGGAACGTTGATAAAAATGGTAACTCAGATTCGTTGTCTACAAAAGTTAGTCGTGAAAGTCATTTGTATCCTAATACAAGCCTTCTTACCGCCTTGTTTGTGTCATTGGCTTACAATGGTGAATTTTTTGCTGGTATCAAGTATATCAATGCCTTCCAACTAGCATATGATCAAATAGAGAATGTGCAGAGGGACAATAAAGTGTTTTGGGAACAAGTTTTCAAATGGGCCAATATTTCCACCTTGTTTGAAGAAAATCAAGCGTTGAAGTACTTTTTGACAAAGAGCAATTACTCGCGAGGAACTAATGTAGATTTGAAAGACGCTCAAAATGACGCTAGTTTTGATTATGAAGGATATTTGCAATTTATTGAAAGTTTGAAATCGGAGAGGGTGAAGACATTTGACCAATTGTGGAAGATTGTCCAGAATGATGAAGAACAATTGCCGTTCTCCACTGTCATATACAAGACATATTTGGATGTTTTGAAAGAGAATGAGAAGAAGAAGGAACAGGAACAAAAATTGTTTGATTATCTATCATGCTTATTAAAAGAGTACATGAGACACAATATCAGGTCAAACTCATTTACAAAACGGTCAGGATTGGGATTTGTCCCCACCAACGACAAGAGTGTATCAATCAGGGTATTGTATACGGAAGCCATGAAGTCGCTCATTGATGTAAAAGGCACTACAACCTTTCTAGGTCAAATGCAACCATTGATTGACAAATGGAGCATTGACGAGTCAATGAAGAATGATTTACAAGCATGGACAGCATCGCGAATGCCAATTTATAGAAAGGATTTGGAGGCTAAGCGGGAAGAGTTTATGAATAATTTAACTCAGGATGATGAATCCTTGTTGGAGCTTATGTAATTGCAGAATATAGAGAATAATGATTGTGACGATAGTAGATTTATGGCATTTGTTTTCTCCAAATGTGTAGAGATAATGAAACATTCCAAAATCAAGAGTTTAAAAAATGAAAAAAAAAAAAAGGACGTGTAACGGGTGCACAAATTAAAAGCTCCACGTAATAGAGAGTGGAAAAAAAAAATAAAAATACAATTTCAAAGGTGAACAACATAACTTTCCATTCAAAGCATCTAATTCACATAGATATACATTTACAAATTAGACAACATAATGGCTGCCGAAGGTGTTGAAAAACTTACAGAAGTCCCCGTCGAATTCTTCAAAGACGGATCAGCATTTATCAAGAAATGTCAAAAGCCAGACCAAAAGGAATATTTCAAAATTATTAGAGCTGTTGGTATTGGTTTCATCATGATGGGTGTTGTTGGATACGCTGTCAAATTGGTCCATATTCCAATTAGATACTTGATTGTATAAAATGGGATGAAGCAAAAGAAAGAGAGAGGAGGGGGTAGGAAGAGTAGTGACGACGATAGATTCGGTTACAGCGAGGAGGAGATTGAGGTTTTGTTGCCTAAAAGATAAGATAGACAGTGATTTCATGGAACTGTTTATGTTATTTTGTATAATAATTTGAATATAAATGTTCATTTCTGAAGAATTAGTTTGGAGAGGCAGAAAGAGAAGGGATGGTGTTGTGAGTAAAGTACGATTGTCAACCGTGTCGAGCTCATCTATCTTTCGTAGATTCGACAAACTTGGAGTCCACGAGCTATTGCTAAAGCTCTAATACTCTTCAAGGTGCCACATCTCTTTAATTGACTCAATCTGTGACAACAAGTCTTGTTGTTCACATACAACTGTTGAAAGTCACTTTTTGTAGAAAATATTGTCGCGACACAGCTTAAATACGACACAAGCCTCATCTCGCATTTTCCAAATTTTGAAAAATTAAATTTTACACTACAGGTTTCACACCCAGCAGAATTATTCACCACCACTGCTCCCTCTATATACTGATCACCTTATCATGTCACAGGCTTCTAATTTTGTCAAGAAATTGGCATCTAACGACAAGCCCACCAGGGATGCGGCCCTCGAATCCTTAAAGAAATTCCTCATATCCAAATCCTCAAAATCATTTTCGATATCATTATTAGATGCAGAAAAACTATGGAAGGGGTTATACTACTCAATGTGGTTTTGTGACCGGCCAAAGGCTCAAGAGCGATTAGCTGAGAATTTGGGCCAATTGTACCTGGAAAATATGAAATCTGACGATGTATTTCTTCGATTTGTTGAGGCATTCAATTTAATCATGATTAAAGAATGGAGTAGTATCGATCAATGGAGAATTGACAAGTATTATTTGTTAATTAGGCGTGTGTTGAGGCACAATTTCAAGTATTTACAACAGCATGAATGGGACGATAAGTTGGTTAGTCGTTGGGTTGATGTGATGAGTCGGACTTTATTGAGCGGAGATGCTAAAGTGCCTGTTGCTTTACCATACCATTTATGCGACATATATTTGGATGAGCTTCAATTGATTATGTTTGCAGAATTGGAAGAGGAGGAGTTGGATAAGGATGATGCTGATTATTTGCAGAAATATGAAGATTTGATGAGACAAAAGATTGCGATTGCGGACGATGTTCCAGTGTTGAAACTAATAGAGCCATTCCAGAATTTGAATAAAGAAGCTAAGCTTAAACCATTGAGGGAGAAATGTAAAGAGGATGTTTTGGATGATGAGAGATTAGTTGATTGGGCCGTTATTGAAGACGATAGTGATGACTCTGATCTGGAAGGTGAAGGTAGAAATGGCTCTAAGGGAGGGGATTCTGACGATGATGATGAAGAGGAATGGAAAGGTTTCTAGATTTGTATAATTTGCATAGAGGTTTAATAACTTAAAGCGGTTTGTTCTGTCAGCGCATCGAGAAATGAAAAACAAAAAGAATAATACCCGTTGCTCTCTTTTTTCAACCTTTGAGCCAATGTCAAAGCAGGATAAAGAGTTGAATCCATATATACCCAAATATATAATCTCAAAACCATGGTATAACGAAAAAGAAGGCTCCAATGACTCATCTGGGGAACAGACGGATTACTTATCCCATCAGAGAAAAACATCGGAAATTGTTGATCATAGCTTGCCACAAGTGGGCCATGGGATAACTGACGAATACCAAAACGGCGTACGAATCCATTCCAATGATGTAAACTACGACACAAAGAGAGATCGATGGTTTGGGTACTCGACTGAAGAATGGTTAGCAAAAGTCAAGAACTGGAGCGAACAAAATGACGTTAAATTGATTAACGCCAACAATAAAGGTAACGATTCCGATGATGATGATGGTACTGATTACGAACTTGAATTGAATGAGTTGGGACTAGATAGAAAAGACGTAATGCAAAACATTAAAGAAGATCCTATGGAAAAGATGTTGCGTGATCGCCAAGATGTTCCGGCATATATCCATAACATCAATTCACGAGCAGATGCCAAGATTCGCATTGAATATGATCCTAAATCGCGACTTGCTAAAGACCCAACTAGAGGGATATTGAATGATAAGAATCAATTTGTCAAGAAATTGGAAGGTGATGCTGAAAACTTAAAGACTTTGCAAACTTTTGCTTGGGATTTAAACAAAAAGAATGAACAAAAGAAGATGGCACAAATTGGTATTGATGAAACAAATGTGAATGTGACGGATGTGAATGACAGTCTTGAAGCCAATCCTACCATGATGCTGATGAAGGAAAGGAAAGAGAAGGAAGCTGCTAAGCAAAAGTCAGTTGCCAAACGAAGGAAAATTCTTGAAATGTATGGAGATTAGTCAAAAGTGGCACATATTCTAATGCTTATTGGACAGGAGCAACTTAAAGGCTATTAACGGGAGTTGCTAACCCATCCATTTTATGGCATTACCCATTTTTTCCATGTCTTTAGGCGAATAAACTCGTTTCCTTCGAGTATGTCCAAATTGGGTAGTTCTCTGGCAGCTTCCAAAACTACTTCAAGATATTTCCCGTCGTGCGTTAAAACTTTTAGTCTGTTGAATTCGACCAATTTTGCAACTCTAAGTTTGCCGTCAGTCTTGTCGAATAAAGACCTCAAGTATGTGTCCTTGCAGAGGTTTTCGGTGGAGAAGTAGTATTGTAATTGTTTCTTAATACTACCTTTGATGGTGCCTCTTTTATTTTCCAGGGAGGGTGACTGAGACTGTTGAGACTGTGTGCTTAATTGTGGCAGCAGATGCGGAAATGCTGAATGAAGATACATTGGCATACTATAAACCACCATTTGATACGGAGGTAATTGTGGTGATGAAAACATCGCTGGAGAGTGAGGTAATAATGAGGTATTTGACGATGGTATTAATATGGGTGATGGAATGGAAGCTGAGTCTTCTGACATTGGTGAATGTGCTTCATCAATTGGGTGAGCAAATAATCCAATATCTGGTTTTAAAAAGGGCTGTGTTGTTGTTGCTGCTGCTGCTGCTGAGGACATATTGACCAGTGACTGAAGAATTGGCTTGTTATAATCGTCAACAATTTTGTACTTGAACAATCCATTACCTCCTTTGATGTCCTTTGACCTAGGGAAAGCTGGTTTTTTTATCTTGACTGTTTTACCCACATTTACCAAATGGGTTTGTTTGTTTGTTATTCTTGCAGCCATTATTGGTTGAGGTGAATCAAGAGCCAATACCCTTGAATTTGATGTACTAACAGCACCATGTTGGGTCAATTCATCTGACTGGGATTGTAAGCCTGTATCTGGTGACTTGTCAATATCTAAATTCTGGTTATAAGATGGCGGTTTGACAGCTGCTTTTTTATCTTCTTGTTTTGGTAGCAATGTATTCACAACCCAAGCGTTTGAAGTGGGGAGGGGAGCAGGGGTTAATCGTCTTATGTTCGACATTGGATGGATGGCAGGACACACTAGTTCTTTCTTTAGATTTTTTAGCACTTCTTCAGCTATTTTGATATACTGTTGATGCAATTGAGTATTATTGTAAAGAGCTCAAAAAAATTGAATTTGGTTGTAAAAAATAAAATACATTGAGTATTAGGACATTCAACTGTTTAAGCACACCACCAAAATGAGTGCTGTTTGACAGAAAACATGCTAGTTAACACAGTATACATAGCTGGTATAACAAATTTGAGTTACGTGGAATTGTTATCTTTACGAGAGGAATTTTGTGTGTTACTTAAATGGGTAACACTAGTTGTATTGTTACACTTGGTATTTATATATATATATATATATATTCGCCAGAGACCACAAGTGAAAGCATCTCCCATGTAACATCCCAGTGGCAGTCGTAGTACTGCTATGCAACTACTTTATGGTTTTATCAAACATCGTGTGATCTGAGGCTAGCTGGCGTGTGTTGAAGAATTTTTAAAAGGCTTAGAAAATTAATACGTTGTACAAAGAAAAGTAAAATTAATATTATGTATTGCAAATAAATTATATGTCTTGTGATCACAGAGAAGGAAAAAGACAAAAACTGTGGAGATTGGTGACTGAATCCATACTCATACACACACAAATAGTCAGTCACACGTCGTTACAGGAATAACAAAAACCAACTAGGGCGTGTGATTACTGTTTACGACTGACAATATCAATAGTCACCATATATCATCACGGTTCCAAAACACAGTAGCTTAAATTGTGTTGTTTTATAAGGGGGCAAAAATAGAAATGAAAAAGGCCCACATGGGCTCCTCTAATCAATTACACAAAAAAAAACAAAGAAATAAAAATTATAAAATTTCAAAGAAAAATGGATTTTCAAGTCACACGATGGTTGGCTATCGAACTGAATATCAATTAAACATATCTTTTATAAGAGATGAATGACTGTAACCTACTCGTATAACTTAATTATGAATTTATACAACGCTAGTGAAAAGATATAGTTAACCTACTGCTGCAACAGTTACCAGAATGGTTGTTTCGCTATTGTTGTAGAAAGAAGTTTTGTATTCGCTGGTTTGGTTGGGTTTGGTTGGGTTTTGAATATGGGTGTTTTGAGTCTATCAATAAGAGATAATGTTCTATTGTGCAATGTATTAGGTAATCAGATGTATGATGGTTTATTATCTGAAGGTTGAGAGATTGTCAGATTTTAGACTAACGCACACACATAAATATATACACACGTTGCATAGGAAGTGTATTTTTAGAAAAGATATGCGGGATTTTAAGACTAACTGAGTGGCTGTACTATCCCTAGATTTACATCTCCACTGTATACTAAGTTTATAAAACTGTGTATGAGAAAGGGCTAAACAGGAGTAGCAACAATGCTGGTTTGATTTAATAACATATGTCTTTCTCTCTGTCACTCTACTAGCTTAAGTTTGCCATTTTTTGCTTTCCAATTTAACGCTCACGTGTGCTCTTCCAAAAGAATAGCATTGGCACTAATAGGCGTGTGCGTGTGGTGCGTGTGTGCTCGTTTGTATTGTGCAGTAGTATATGCAGTACACAGAGATTATTATTTCATTTCAAATTTGAAACACAAAATTAAAATAATCAATAATAAATAATAATAGACAATTTACTTTTTTCTTTTTCCAACCCTCGTGGGACTTTTTCTTTCTTCTTTAAACGCTCATCATTTCTTTTATTACAAAACATATATAAACTATAATTGTAAATATTTCTATAATTCTGTATTTATGTATCGCCTATTCATTGCCACACTACTGTATCAACTGAAACAGAACTACGATTGAGGATATATATTCATATCTCGACCCTCTCAGCTCCTAATCCAACGAAGATACTACTTTGTGGAACGTTTTTTTGTTTTTTACTCAACCAATTTTGCAGCTATATATATATATACACCTACAACTAAAACAACAACAACAGCTTTGCAATGAGTTTCCCATCTCCACCAGTATTAAAAACAACTATCATTCAATTGAATAAGGAACTAGATACCGATTCCCACAATAACAACTATGAAATATTGACAAACAACTACAACAATAGCAATAACAGTAACATTAACAGTAGCAGTAACAATCTGTCGAACAAGAGTCCAATTGGTGCAAGCGATGAATCCATGCCAACATCACCCAACTTGGAAGCTTTAGCTCCCAACAAGAAAAAGAGAAGAAGATCAACAGCAAATGTTGACTCTGAAGAATTGGCTAAGCGTAAACATGAAACTAAGCAGCTACATTCCATTATTGAGAAAAGAAGAAGGGTCAAGATAAATCGTGAATTTGAAGCTTTGAAATATTTGATTCCGGCTTGTAGGAACTGCAATAGTGGCTCCTCCTCCCCCAACCAAGATACAAACTCATCACCAAAAAAGTCACAAAACACTGGAGGCAGTGGCAACAATGGTAACAAAATTGATGGCATGTACAAGTTGACTATCTTGAAAAGTTCAGTTGAATATATCTTGTATCTACATCACATAATTCAGAAGCAGCAAGAGCTTATAGTAACTGACTCAAGTTCAAACTCAGAATCGGCAAAGGGGTTTGATATTGATTTTGCCAAAGTACCACTTGATGTCAACCAATATAGAAATATCGATGTCGAATTCAATTTCAAAACTTTATTGAATGAGGTAGAAAACGTGGAGAAAGAACAAGAGTCACTCCACCAAGCTGAAGCAACTTCAAATGAACCAAGACTGTCCAGATCAAGTTGGACACCTAACCATAATGGAATAATTGAAGAAGAGGAAGAGGAAGAAAGGGAAAGAGAGGAAAGACCAGGGAACAGCAGGCAAAGTAGTGACGGTGACATCAATTGCAGCACCAGCAGTCGCGCTTCCAGCGTAGCTCCATCACTTCCATCAATACCTTCTCAAATGTCAATATCTTCCATGCACAAAGCGCTGCTCCCAACCCCTGATTTTACTCCCGATATGGCACCTATTTTCACCATGCTCAACAAATATTCTGACAACAATATGGACAGAAGGTATAGAAAAGTGTCTTATCCAATCTCACCTCAAACTTTTGCCGTACGGTCAGCCAATCCTTCTCCATTCACTAATCCGTTGAAATCGACTTTGTCAAATGCGACATCACCTAGCTTGCGCAATTATATCAACAGGAGCAACACCAATGCCTGTGCAAATGCCAATGCTAATTCCAATGCTAATGCTTTTGCTTTACCAGATCCTGCAATAACGCCGTCGAGTTCAATGCCAAGGGACAAGTCAAAAGGTAGTGTAGGAATTGGGAAATCAGTTACTCAGGACATACTGTCAAGAGAGAAAAAAGATGAAGATATGGAAGAAGAGGAGGAGCAAGAGGAGATTCAACTAAGTGATCAATGTGCTTCCAAAACCTTGTTGGCATTGAGAAAGTCGAGTATTGGAAACTTGCTAAACTAAAAGAGATATAAAGTGTGTGTGTGTGTGTGTGTGTGTGTGTGTGTATACGTATTTAAGTTTTTCCGTTTTGTATTATTTAGCACCTTATAACCCCCAAACTGGTTTTTTGGGTTTTACAACTTTATATTAAACTATTATCCGACAAATACTCTACATACTCATCCATCTTACTTGGCCAAGCTGCCATTTCATCATAATTGGAAAGCTTGCGAGGATCAGGAAGAATTACTTCCAAAAAGAATAAATAAAACATGGACCAGGTGTCGAAAGTGATTACGGGTCTTGGGTTGCTAGTGGTTAAGAAATCATACCAATTTTGGACTCGTTCTTCAACCTGGTTCGCCGTATCAGTTTCAGTGGTGGACTCGTTCTTGGCAAGATAAACTGACGTTATTAAAGGTAGTAATAACTTCCAATACGAAATTGCTAAGTCAATATCCAAAACTTTTTGATTTTCCGACTCCTTTAAAAACCCAAATGCAAAATCATACAAGTGTTTAAAATCAACAACTTCATCAGTTTCAATATCATTGTATATTCCCTTATTATGAAGCACGTCATCATGAAATTTGTTCAAAAACAGCGACATTTTGGCAATATCGTGGATGTTGTAATGTTGCCAAGTGGTTAAAAACTTGTTCTTTTCAAACACACCAACCAGCGGCGCCTTTAGTAGGAAAGCCAATGTCAAAGATTTAGGATCCTCAGGATCAATTTTTAAATCTTCAAGGTACTTCAATGTGCCATCTATGTCTATTACGTCGGGGTTATTGGCATCTTTGTACTTTTCAAATATGGCAATCAAATTCTTATTGGTGTTAGAAGTAGTCGAAGTTGCTGATTTGCCATTTGATTTGGGATTTGTTGACTTCGATGAGTGTTTTTCAAAATAGGCATCAACTGCTTGTTCCAAGTTATACTTGCTTGCGTCCAAGTATCTTCCTGCGGTTGTGGTTGATGTGCCTGTCAATTCGCAAAATTGATTCTTTAATGCCGACTTGTTGGTCTGTTTGTGTGTTAGTAGTCGGGGATCATGAATTTTCACAGTGTGTGGAAAATTATTCCTCAACATACCATATTTGAGTTGTCGTTGGCCCCCTGCTTTATTTGTCCTGGACCGTAATGTCCTTGTGTGTGGATATTTTTCCACACCATCAATTTTTTTTTGCTTTTGTCAAAATTGCGCAAAATCAAAAAAGTTCTTTTCCTTGTAGGAAACTTGTAGAAGCGAAACTAAAAACAACAACAACCAACCAACTAACCAAACCAACCAGCCAACTCAGCTTTAATAAATAACATGCTGATATGAATGATGGAGCCCAGATATTATCCCTAGATCAAATCAGAAACGTTATTGGGTTCCCATCGCTTGACGATTTATCAAGCTCGCCGTCTGACATAGATAATGATATTCAAATACTACTCGATTGGATACTGCCAATCATTCCCGAAAAAAGTCTAGAGTTGTGTTTCCAGAAAGGTGGAGTCCCACATCCATCATCTGCTTCTTTGTCTAACTTTATGAGTCCCGTTGGCCAGTTGATAAGGAAAGAAGAAGCTATCGATCCTAAATTTTTGTTGCCCAAGTACTCTGATCCATCACATAGGGTCAAATTAGCAATCAAGAGCTGTTTCAAGAACGAATCCGATCAATTGAAATTTATTGATCTCTATGTCAACTCGGTCAATACCAAGTTGAAGGCTTTGCCAGTGTCGGTTGCTGCTAACCGCTCGTTTATAGAGTACATCAACATGATCAAACTCATGAAGCATCATTACGAAACGCATATGGATAATTTTAATCTTTCCAATCGCGTCAATTTTGCATTCACGACAAAGTATAATGCTATTCTAACGTCGTTCTTATTTGACAATACCAATTTCCGTGATGAATTGAGCAATTTTTTTGAAAAATCGTTATTTTGCAACAGTACGTTTACAACTCCGCTTTCTTCTTCAATCACGTTGAATGTTATTGATATTATATCAACATTGGTGTCGGTGAATTTATCTGAATGCTTGAATGAGATTCTCACCCTGTTGTCGATCGATAAAATCAAGTCATATACAGTTCAATTATGTCGTGGAGTATGGGACAAGCCATTGTTGGATGCGATTGAATCTTTTATTCAGAATGAAATATATCCCAACTTCTCCATAGTTGTCAGTTACACCACGCTGTCAAACTTAACGGATACAATGAATAATGTCTACTTGTACGAATTGATGAAGATTGCCCATATGGAGTTGATATCATTGCGAATTAAAGAGATTTACTCATTGGTGTTGAACTACCCATATAGTAAAATTGCCCTTACGGAGCTCCATTCGTGTTTATTAAAGAATAAAGTTGAACAGCGTGATATTACCATGAATTCAACGGGGATATTTTCCTACATGGGAGATATTTCAACCCATGCCCAGGCGGAAAAGAGATCAAAATTGGTTGAAAATTTTGTCCTGTGTTGTTGTGAAAATCTTCTTCATGCGGGAGCAAATACTATTGACGTAATCACTGCGTATACGAAAACCATCAAGTCGTTTTTACTAATTGACCCCAAGGGTGTTCTTCTTGATAAAGTAGTGAGGCCCATACGTCGATACTTGAAAACTAGAGATGATGTCATTGTAAAGTTGGTTCATGGGATGTTGGACGTTTCCGAGTCCAACAAATTGAGAGACTTGGCGTTAGAATTGAATTCAACGGAAAAGTATAACACGGCAACCAATATAAAGGATGATATTGAAGATTCATTGGATTTGAATTGGGTACCGGATCCAATTGATGCATTGCCCGATTTCAAGAGGGAAAAAGTAAGTGATACTATTGAGTCGTTGCTTTCAATTTTCGAGTCAAAGGAGATTTTCATTGAAGAGTTTACCAAGTTGTTTGGCCATCAGTTGATACAATCAAGAAATTTTAATGTGATTGGCATTGAAGCGAAATTGAATTTGCTAAAGTCTCGGTTTGGAAAAGATAATTTTACAACTTTGGACATTATGCTACGTGATTTCCATACCAGTAAGCATCTAAATACAAAGGCGTCTCGTGATGTGGCTATTTTGTCCCATTTGTACTGGGAATGTATCCTCGATCAAATCGATGACGAAAAGAACTCGTTTCAATTACCACAACAGATTGTTCTGGAATTTGCTGATTTCCAAAGTTATTACAGCAAGCACAAACACGGAAGGAATTTAAAACTTATCCCTAGTTTGGGTACAGTAAAACTAAGACTAGATGTCGGTGAACAAATTCGCGTGTTTGAAGTGAGCACGGACCGAGCAGCAATTATTGCATTGTTTGGCGAAACTGACCACGAGATTTACATTGATGATATAGTCAAGTCGTTGCGAATGCCGTTATCGATGGTGAGAGATGGCTTGTCTTTTTGGATTAATGAGGGTGTGGTTTACGAGTTGAGTAAAAAAAAGTATATTGCTGTTGATGTTATGCAGTCGTCGCAGGGTAAATATGCTAAATCGCAATTTAGTGATGTTGAAGTACTTGAGCCCCATGTGACGCGGATGTTGCTGAATATAACTGCGCTCACTTTTGAGAGAATGAAGTCGTTGTTGAAGATGATGGTTCCTAAAGATGAAATTGATGTAGGCCAAGTGGATGACTCTTTGTTGAAGTCGTACTTGGATCATTTGGCAGACACTGCAGTATTGAATATTAATGATGGCAATTACAGCTTGAATAAGAGTCACTAGCTATTCAAATACACATGTGTCGGTCAGTAATTTAGCACGATTCTATTCGTTTGCAATATATATTGTTACATAGGAGTATAGACTAGGATATTGCCTCCCTCGTCCCCAATCATTTCTTTTGGTCAGATTTTTTGGGCCACCGTCTTGCCGGTTTTATCTCATCTGGCATATACCCTGGCACCTTGATCCCCCAATTCCTCTCCAAATTCAATTGTACATCTCTGATATCTACCTTGTCCAATTTCCGATGTTTGGCCAAATTGCATGAAAACCCCATAACGTTGCGGACAAACTCGTCGGCCAAATCTAAAAAGATCTCTTCGACATCATTATCAACTGTTGGTTTCGTGTCTCCTTGATCAACAGATAGGTTAGTTATGAGCTCGTTTAATTTTCGTTTTGTAAGAACACGGCCGTCGTTATCGGGTATATTTGTGGGGACAGTTGACAGGCTACCAAAAGCTCTGAGTGAGTTTACGAGGTTTGCCGAGGATGCGTTTGTGCTGTTTGTATTAACTTGTGGTCTTTTTGTGGGCACTGTCACATTGGGGGACGATGCTTGAGAGGTAGTAGTGGTGGTGGTGGTGGTGGCAGTTGATGGCTTGGCCGTGTTTGATAGTTTTGAACCGGTTGGTGGTTTTGAAGATGTAGGAGACGGAGATGGCTTTACCTCGTTTGAAACGGGTGGGGACAATTTCTTATTTACTATGGCAGCAGTTGCGTTGGTAACAGATTGAGAAGGTTCCTGTTTGATCTGGACAGACTGTGGTTGACTAGGGTTACTAACACTGGCAGGCACTGGTGACTTGGTTCTATCGCTGATTGGATAATTGGACGTTTGCGATTGCGTAGCAATATGGAGCGCATCGACTGCTGCAGCTGACTGTGGCCTTGGACTTGGTACGGGCGTTGCATTTGCAGTTAACCTCCCCGAGTCCATCAATACTTTTCTCATGTATAGAGCTCCCTTGTGATACTGCTGTAATTGAATACGGTTGGCTGATAATGCTTTTTCAAGCGACTGCATTTTTGCCGGGTCAGTTTCCTTCTCTTTGGCAGCTGTTAATGCTTGCACTTTTTCTGCCACATCTTTCAAAACACTTTTTACTTGGTTATACTTTTCAATGGTTATTTTTTGAGTGTCGGATGTGCCTAAGTTTGATTTTTGCGGTGCTGGTGATTGAATTTGGGGCGATTGTACTTGCTGTGATTGACTCCTTACTGTATCCTGAGAAGCAGTTTGTGGCTGGTTCAGCGACAAAGACAGCAGGGCAGCAAATGGAGATACAATTGAAGGTGCTGCCGAAAAAGGTGTAATATTTGGACCAGATTGAGTACTAGCTGAAGATGTTAGTTGCTGACTGCTTTGCTGGATTTGTGTGGCACTTGGAGGCGCACCGCTCAGGTCTCCACTTTGACGTTGCTTTTGCTGGTCATGATATATTTTCAATACACGTTTGATTTTCTCTACCTTGGCTAAATGTTCTTTGATTTTGGCAGGATCAGTTTCAGTCTTGCTTTTATCGAACTCTTCATGTAACTTGCTTAATAGGACCTTCACCCTTTGAGGGTTCAATTCTGCTTCTGGTGTAGGTGTCGTATTTGCTGGGATATTCTGGCTACCTGATCTCTCCATGGCTCTGAGTATATGTACAATATGGGGGTGGGTATACGATTGAATGCTACATACTGTTTTTTTTTTTCAGTTGTTTTGCTTTTCCGTTTGCCAACGGTCGTGCATATACATCAAAAGTTCAATTTTGCAGCTACATTGTATATGAGATCTATAATATTCTATACTTAGATATTTATTACACTTTTGTTACCTCATAAGGAGACAACCTTTTCGATAATTGCAACTATGTCATCACTGTTTTCAAATTTACCTGTCTTTGATAGGCGGGAATCCATGTACCTATCCAAAAGCTTTCTAACTTGTTTAATCAAGACCCCATTTTTACACCAAGTTCTAACAGGGAGCCACTTGTCTAAAATGATACCATTGGAAGGATTGCCACTCGTCTGGTGTAAATAGTATTCATAGCTTCCACCAAAAAGCAAAGTTGCCAATGTGCTCGATGGGGTGACTCCATTCACGTAGAGCTTACTAGAGAAATGTGATGATCTGTAAGCTATAAATGTGTGTTTCGATGCTGGCAATGGCTTATTGAGTGGAACCATCTGTCTCGCTTTGTCAATGTCTACCGAACCATCTTCGCGAGTGATTTGTGATTCAAGTTCTTCATCAATCTCAAAACCAGTTGTATTTTTGCCAAACAATATGGACGATGGATGTATAAATACTCTTGTAGCAGCCAAAGGAGAATCATGACTGGAAGGGTTATCTTTCTTGACCCAATATTTGGTCAAGCGGGCGTCTGCATCTGCTTCAATAGCTCCCAGTGATGACTTTAAAAACTTTTTTGGTGGATACTGTACCCTTGCCACATTTGGATAGAACGAACCAACGATTATGGCTCGGATTATGTAATAATTTGGTTTCAGCACCGTCTTTGGTACGTTCGACAGTGTGGTGAACCCGATCTCGGATAGCAATTGATAATATTGCTGTCTTGTTGACGAAATATCCCTGAGAGCGGTGTAGGATAAGCAGTTCTCCGTGATAAACTTTTTGCCTGTGGAATCCAAATAAGCGCGATAAATGTTTGCCATAGCAATGAAGTCACCCTGCTTGTCGCTGTATTTTTCAGTGATACTCTTAATCTTGTCTCTGTTCTCCATTGAATGCGCAAATATACTACCAACTGAGCTTATCGCCGCCAAAATTGAACAAAAATCAAGGCATCCAAATATACAGCCCAATAATAAAAGCTTTCCGGTATGGGCATCGGTGGGCAAGTACGACAAGTATTGTCCCAATGTGGTTAGATTGTCACCTTCAAGGGCACCAACATCCTGTAAGAAGTTCTTTGCCGATAGCAATGCAGATTGGTCCGGGGCGTCCAACCCACTTGCAATAAAATTTTCCACATTCTTCACACCCATAGACTTTACAATCAAGTACAAATTCTCCAAGCGCACTCGCAAGATTTCAGGAATTGGCTGTGCAAGCATCGAATCTTCGGTATCCTTTGTGTACATATGATAACAACAGCCAGCAGCCACACGGCCTGATCTTCCTCTTCTTTGCTTAATCTCGGCTTGGGAACACCACTCCTCTACTAGCTTGGTAGCATTCAAAGACGTGTCATAAAACATTGATTTTGACCGCCCTGAATCAATTACAGCCACACAATCGGGGATCGTGATTGATGTTTCGGCAATATTAGTGGAAACAACAACTTTTCTTTGCCCGCGAGAAGATTGGAAAACCTTCTTTTGTTCTTGCGATGACAACTGCGAATGCAACGGAAGAGTCCAGAAGTTGGAAACATTGCTAATCGCCTTGATTGTGCGGTTTATTTCAGGAACACCAGGCATAAATATCAATATCGAGCCAGAATCACCCTCCAGTGCCAACTTCTTGTCTATATATCCCACGAGTTGCGCGATCAATTCATAATTAATGTTTCCACATTTAAAAAAGGCAGAGTCAGCGCGAGGTTTTATGAGCTCTCCGCCAACTTCCATTGAATAATCTAGGACGTTCAAAATGTCATCCAAATAAAAGTCTTCGATAGGGAATGTCCTTCCTTTAACGTGTTCATGAACCAAAGGCTTCTTGAAAAACTCATTAAACTTATCTATTTTTATGGTGGCTGACATGAGGACCACTCTCAATTTCTTGAACTTCTTTAGAACGTCCCTCAAAATGATGAGGAGGAAGTCGCTATCAACGGATCTTTCATGAACTTCGTCAATGAAGATGTAGCCGAGATTATCAAATAAAGCATGGTCTTCCTCCTTGGTGATGTTCTGAAGCATTCTTAGAAGAATACCTGTAGTCAAGAATGTGATTCTGGTTGCAGGGCTAATTTTGTTCTCACCCCTGATCATATAGCCTACTTCTTGTCCTACAATATCTCCTCTCTCTTCTGTAATACGAGCAGCTAGGCCAAGTGCAGAAATACGTCTTGGCTGAGTACAGAAAATGGTTGTAGAGAAATCACCCCTTGAGTTTAGGTCATCAAGAATGTACTGTACAATCTGAGTTGATTTACCCGATCCTGTCTCACCTGTTATTAGTGTGATTGCATTGTCGTTTATCACTTTTACCAAATCCTGGGCTTTGTTCCAAACGGGAAGTTTTGCCCTTTCCAGTATGGAGTCCTGCAATGCTGCTGCTCTATTTTGGTAGGAGAGCTTTATGTCATTCTCATTTTGCCTGACTTTTTTCCTGCCTTTTGAATCTCCATTGGATGCACTAGGTTGTGTTGCTGTATTCAACTCTTTTTGATACATTACGAGTGGGCCAGGGTTGTTGATGATGTTTATCATATTCTCCTCCAACCATTCAATTATCGAAAAAATCATACACTCTCCCACATGCAAAGTCAGAAGAAGATTTCTAACAATAGACAACTTGACATAGTTTGCTAGATTATACTTTTCGGCAACTAATAATTGTATCCCGGGTATTTCATTAGGGTAATTTGTACTTTTGAAGAGCTTCAACTCAATTGCACCTTCACCAACTCCAATAGGATTTAAAGGAATTGTAACACTCTTTTCATCGGAATTTGTAGCATCTCTAGTAGAGTTTATAGCTTCCACTTCTTGGCCCCATATCTCCTGGCTCTGTTCCTCCGTTGCCACCTCGTTTTCCTCTTTCGCTAAAAGTTTAGTGAGTTGAACACTAGTTTCAACCTCGTCCTCGCCTGTCGCTTGGTAGACCCGTAATATTTCATCTTCATCAAACCCCAAGTTCTTAAGCCTTTTCAAAGCCAACTCAGTTTTCAAATTTTGTGAAATTGTAAGCTGTACTTCCGAATCCTTGCGCGATTTAGCAAAAAGCGCTGGTAAGTCATCTTCAGGTATATGGAAAATCAACCATTCAAGCGCATCGGTAAATTCCAGAGTGTATTGAAGAGCCTCCCGTACGTGGCTCTCTCGGAACCCCAACCCAGCTAATTTCTTCGCAATCAGTTCATCTACTTTTCTAGTTTTCTCTAACCCATCCCATTCTAAATGTCTTTGCACGGACTTTTCTATTTCAACTCGCATATCTGAAGGTATATCCATCAACGGTGCATGTTCCCATGCTCCTCTAGGGATAGAGCTTTTCGTGGTAGGTGCCATTGACGGGACCGGTTTCTGTCCTATATTTATAACAGGCTTATGCATTTTTAAATTCTGGTTATCTCTTGCTGCTCTGTCCTTTTCCTTCTCAGCTTTGATCTTTTGCTGCTCCATAACCACGGCGAAGGGATTGACATTATACCTTATGTCATGTAGTTTCTTATCCTCCTTTAATATTTGCAACCTCTCCTTTTCTAAATCAGACCAGTAATCTCGAAAAATAACTGGGAGTAACATCTTCATGTTTTTCACATAATTTATTCTGTGTAAAACAAAAGTTGCAACCATGTGCCTGGCCTCGTTGCTTGTTCCCCTGGGAGAGTACGTCGGGGTATATTTCACAGACAATAGCTCCTTTGTCTTTGGGTTTTCCCATGATAACGTCACTATGCCAATGTAGCCATTGGGCCTCCTCATCATATCATATTGGCATTTATTCCACTTTTGTTTCTGGCAGTGTTCATTGAGTAATGTGACAGGTAACTTTCCTGTCCATCCGAAATTGTCTCCCACGACTAATCCTCGCGAAGGCTTTTTAATGTCATCTGGTGTGGGCTCTTTATTTCCTTTCTTAGTTGCAGGCTCCGACACTACCTTGTTCTTGTTCTTGGCCATGAAGAGTAATTGATGTTTTGATCTGGTGAAGTTTTTTTTTTCTTTTTTTCCTCTTTACTGTTCTTTAAGTTGTGCTGCGAAAAGAGGGTCAGAAAAGGGTGAGGGGAAGGGTCTATCTTGTAGCAGAGATCGAGAGAGAATTACAAGGTTTCTTATTGCTGGTTGGAGTGAAGAGGTAGATTGAAAGGTGAGTTGCAATATTATGAAATAACTTGTCTAGCGTGGATTGTTAATGCTGTCGCCCCAGCTCAATTTTTTCACCTCAAATTAAAACAAAATGTCAACAATTCTAGATACATTCACCTGCACAGTTTTATTTCTTCTAAAGTGAGTCTTTGCTCCTTTTGATAAGGAATAAGAAAGCCAATTGGTCAAAGAACGAATAAAAAAAAAGAAACAGCTATGGTTCAGCATTAGTTTTAAAGATCAAAAAAGTGAGATAGACAGGACTCGAACCTGCGACCGTTGGATAGTTCACATACATGATTGGAATCCAAAACTCTACCAGCTGAGCTACTACCCCTTTTACACCAAATTTTCATGCCGTTGCTGAAGCAAATAAGTTTAGAAATATGGAATCTTTTATGGACTTTATAACACGAGTTTTCCACTCAATTGTCACCTATGCAGCATCACAAGGTTGTTGAATGATATGGCCATTGCGTTGCACAAAGGTCCGTTAAATTCAGACCTTAAGCTTTACATATTGGAACAAACTCGGAAAATTGAGAGGGCACAGAAGTTATTTGATGAGAAACAATCAAGTCATTTACTACAGTAATCATTTGCTTGTCCTTATTTTCGTAGTTGACAAGCTCACACGCTGAGCATCACTGCAAACAACAACATAACTTTACCGTCAGGTCAGATTAAGATTCAACAGCCAATGTTGTCGAAGAAAGAAAATTAACTTTCAACTTAACCAAGGTTTTTGAAACAGCGATGTTAGAATGTAGCCAGTTTCCAGAGCTTAGCAATGATCTTACAAATGCTAATAAGCCAGCTTTACCTTCACACTTCGAAAAGATCAAATTGTGGGTGCTCAGCTTTGTCGCCAAAATTTTTATTGAAATTGATAAGCCTCAAATTACAATAATTTGCTATAAAGCCAACAGTGCTGAACTATGTTTTTTGTGAACGATTAGAGATTTCGAGAATTTAGATGGGTCTGATTTAGATGTTGCGGGCTTTTTAGAGAAAGTTGTGTAAAGAATGGAATGATTGTGGACGTTGATTACCGTGCAGATAAAGCTCTTTATTACGAATGAATAAAGAAGACAAAGAAGCAAGGTCGTCAATGGAATATAGCTGCTGGTGATTAGGGGTGTCCAATTAGCTGAAAAAAAAAAAGACACAAGTGTGTTTTCAATCTTTATGAAAATGTGGGAATTGATCTTTTCCAATTTTTGAATATTTAGTTTTATACTCTTGCTCCTTATTTGTCCTTATATTGACTAGATATTCTGCTATTTATTACTATTTGCATAGCTACAAGTGTCTCTTTTAATGTCCTCAATTTGGGAGAAATCAAACAAACTCGATTCAGTCACGGCTTTAAGTCGGTAAGACGTTCATTGTGATCAAAATTAGTTTTAGTTAGAGTGTGTTGTTCTCAACACTTTAAAAATAGCCGAGTATCTTATTGACAAGAAGATGTTAGGGTATATTTCCGTCTCTCATTATTTTTAAGAAATGCAAAAAGAAAGAGGCCAACCAGGCTTCTTTGTACACTAGTGTGTACCGTTAGTCCACACGTATATCAATTTAAATGAAAGAAGCCCTTTTCATCTGGAAACTATGAATAGAGAGGGGCTCGCGTAAAAACTTTTACTAAAATATATGTAATGAGCAGGGTTTGTACAAAACCTAAAATCGAAAACCATGGCTTAAAAAGGAAAATAAAAAATGATGCAAAAAAATCACTTATTTCACTTGGAAGCTGTCTGTAAGTAGTTGACACGACATTAGTGAGTTTGTAAACTGGCGTTGAAAAATTGTTCTTGATAAGTGCTCAATTTTGCTACACTAGCAACCCCTTTTTGTGTTGAGGGGATTTAAAATAGTTTTGGTAATTTGCTACCGAAGTTTTCCCATTTTCAAAAGCTTGGCGTGGAACATACGAATATCTTGTCGCCGAAGTATCAATTAGTGAAAGCAACTTACTATATCGTCAACTTGTTTTATTACTCAAGCTTGCAATGGAGAAATACAACGTGAGTACCTTTACGTTACAGCCTTGCTGGTGCTCTTCTGCTTAGAACACAATTTAACCTCCGCAAAATAAGCCCAAAACTCCATAATTCGGTTAAACTTGTTCTAAGCCAGTGATTGCAGAACGGCTTTGCTACTGAAACGTTATATGAGCTTTTGCAGAAAAATTTACATACAGTGTATAACTAGACCGAGTCACCTAAGTTACATTAACCCTTGTTTTAGCTTAGTAGATAAGTTGAAATCAGGCCACTATTTAAGCTTAATACATGCATGAAGAGCTGAAAATGAACAATGGTCAGAAGGGTGCTCAACTTTGTAGATTTGTGTTGCTGGGTCGCTTCATCGGCTATAATTTTTTTTTAGAAGCGCCGTTCCATCAAATGAAGAGCCGTCAAGGTCCCTACACAAATACAGTAGTTATTCAACTAACTCCAATGCATGCTCTTGCAGCGTACATTGTCACAGGTTTTGAAACTATTCATGTCCTGACATATGTGGCATTTGTTGTGTTCTTTATAGATCCAGTTCCTACTATCTTATTACCACACTTTTCTAGGACTGGATGGAATATCTTGGATTGCACATTACCTGAAAGAAATTTTGATCTTGATTATTATTGCAACTCGTTTGTGCTATCTCAAAGACAATGAAACGCTTATTCAAATCCCATAAAGATTGATGATTTCCACGGGTAAGACCAATAAATATTTTACAAAAGTACCAAACATAGGAATCACACGGGTATCTATAAGTATATATATATATATATAAACAATTGGAAGTAGAACTAAAGGAATATATAATCACAAAAAACATCTTTATAAATAATGAAAATGAAAAAAAAAAGACAAAAAAGAAACCAAACAAGGTGGTGATATTATGACACAAGCATGGCCTTTCACGTCCTAAGCTCGTAAATAGCCACCCTTGAAAGAAATGAGACAGTCTCCTATGCACAATTGCTCAATACTTCTCCAAGAACGACCTGTTATTGTTAAATGAGTCCTCGTACGCGCCAATCAATACATCAAACGCACCCGGTCCTTGAATGTTTGATGGTCCACGAGCGACGCCATTGTAGAAACTATCGTCAATTGTTCTTTCCATCAGTTCGTTAGTGATAGAGGGAGCAAATGATGATTGCAATGTGATACCTTCGCCAGTTGCATCGTAGTATCTGTCAGTCTCATTGAATTCATCAGCCAATGATGCAACTGCCGATGACGGCTGGGAATTGGAAAATAAATCATGTACAGAACCAGCTGGAGATATTTCAACGCTGTTGTTTCTTTTTTTCAAGTCAATTGACCCCTGGCGGTTGTGATGGGTTGGTTTATGAACATGGTGATGGTGAGCAATGCAACTTTTCAATTTGTTGTGCTGTGTCTGTGATAGTGTTGATGAAGATCTGCGTAGAGTTGACATTGTTATTGGACTATTGCTGGTAAAAATGGAGGATAGTGGTGTGGCAGTTGTTGAAGAATTTGGTGCCGATGTCAAAGTATGGGCTTCGTATTTGTTACTCAATGACGTAACGGACGAGTTCTTGCTTATTGGCTGGCTGGGAAGGAAGTTGTTGGAAAATAATGAAGCAGTGAGCGGTATGTGGTTGTGCCCGTTATAATCACCACTTAATCGACGCTTATGCTCATGAATGCTTGGTGGAGACACTCCATGGTTTCTTTCCGGGGAGTCACTATCGAATTCTGATAACATTGCGTCATTTGCAAGCCATTGGTCATCTGCATTGAGGTTAAAGTTACCACTAGAAAGGTTGCTGTTGTCATTACTGTTGCCATTGACATTGCAAGAAAAGCTATGTAATGAATTTGGCGACACGGGTTCTTCCTTGACTTTTTTCTTGATATGCGATTTTGTCGATGAGGTTGAGTTTGTTCTGTTTAACGGCTTCAGTCTTGGAGAAGAGTGTAACATAGATGAAGCTGATTCACTCCCAACAAGCCTTTCTGCTTTGTGTTCAGCAAACAGCTTTGATGAAGATTGCAAATTGTCTCCCTCTAAATTGGCAGCTATTAAAGCACCTTCTTCCCATTCAATTGGAACGTTTTGCAACAATCCACGTTTCCCAATCAAGTATGACACAACTTTGTTAATGTTGGGAATACTGTTAGCCTTGTCCAGTTCTTCAGCCTCCGTTGGTGAAGGTGACATGTCATCGCCGTATTCTCTCTTAGTCATGACTTCATCTTGCAAAATTTCATCGATAAAGGACAAATGGGGTCTTGACAACTCAATTAATTTCTCAAACAGTTTTGACAAGATATCCAATCTAGTTTCCAACAACTCAATGTATCCTGGTGGATGGTTCTTCTCTTTGATTTTCCTCTTCTCGGTAAAGACACATATTTTGTTGTCTAGCAAGCATCGATTGCAAGGCTTTTTTCCATCACATTTGGTCTTTTTGATACGACATGAGTCACAAGCCTTGCCAACCCTTTTCTTTTTGATGTGACAAGTTTGAGATGGGTCTTCAGCTTGCATTTTCGGTGTATGTGTTGGTGGGTGTGGCAGTAATTTGGAGAAAAATAAAACTCGGATTTAAGTAGTGAATTAGTAATGTCAGTTCCGGACTGACTCAGTGCCAACACTATTTATTTGTAGCAAGTTTGGAGAATTTAAAACTGGAGTAGACACTGGGTTAATTCCGATTCAAAAGTTCAGGGAAAATTTTTGAGGGCTGACGATATATATATATGTGGATGTGGTGTGTATATCTATGTGCCTTTTTAATGCGTAGTCAGTTCTTCCGAATATATTGGCTTTGTGTGTTTTCGGAAATCGAAGTCGGTTATAAATCACTTACTAATGGAAAACCTCGCACTCTTTTTTGGTAACCCCAAAGAAAACTAAAAATAAGGTATCCTTTATTGTATCTTTCTCTCCTTTGATGTGAAGTTTCTGACGCAGAAGCTAAAAAAACAGCTGAATTTTGCAAATGAATGACCGCTTCTTTGCTTAGTGTGTGTGTGGCCAGGTAAAACTAGTAGCCACAGTTATGGTTTAAAATAATAATGGAGTTTCGAATTAGGACTATACGTCGAAAAGGCTTGTCCAAAATGTAGTCAGCTCTGTTGAGTAGTAAATGCTTGTTCTGGTTCTAGATGATATTAGTGTACTGTTGAAGGTTGTCACGATTGAGCACATTTTTGAGGATATTATGGCGCTTATTTATAACTTCCTGTAAACTGTGCTTGCCATAGGCGTTGACCACACTTTGTCAAACGTTAACTACGAAGAGAGGTAACTGATAATAGTAATTTTGCATCTCACATATAAAACTCTTTTATTTTTTTCTATTGGCACACTTTTTGTATATACAAATCACATTTCTATTTGCCTATTGTATTATTCTTTTGTGTACGATTTTGTGGTAAAGGTTATACCGGTCTATTGTTCAACCAACTCTCTATGAACGCAAATTCTGTGCTCATAAAGAATTGGATACACACTAAAATCCTATATCCGAAGAACAGAAAAGGCTTTCACAGGTTATGCGACGTAAACAATAAAAAATTAACGTATGATCAAATTTGACATGATACATTCTCCTCTCGCAGTACTTTTGCTGTTTTCTTTCATATGAGAAGATTTGTGAGGGTGATTAAATTCCGGAGATAAACTTAGCAACAATAGGTCGGTTAGACAATCAAAAAATAGATACTGTGCTCTTCTAGACTTAAAAAAGCAGAGCCGGCTATCAAAATTATTCTAGACAGAAAAAAGTTTTATCGTTTGTTCCACAGTATTGTTTAGAAAAGCAGGAGGTAGTGTATTTAAAGTTTTTGATGGTTGCGAAGGTTTCTATGTAACCCAGTACTGTTGTGTCGGATGGTTCCAATGGACAAGTTTGGCATGTGTGTAAGGATGTCCTGTCCTGTGTATTGCTGTGACTAGTGTGGCAACAACCTGCCAGACTTGACCCCTCATTCAGTTGGGCTCTACTTTGCCTCTGCATTTGCTTAAATCAGGCAGTCCCCTATCTCTCATTTTTTTTTTCGAACTAGCGCTTGGGCGTATGTCTACAGCGTCAGGTAGTTCTAGATTGTTCAAGAATAATTTAAAAACACTTTGCGCATGTAATACTTTTAAGTAATTGTACATAACACATAAAACTTTAGTTGCTTTTTTTCTTTTTTTTTCTCTGTCAAAATTGAGAATTTCTTTTACTTGGATTTTAGGGCCTTCCTTAATCGGGACAGACACAACGTAATTGAGAAGAGCAAGGGCTTCATAACCATAATATAGTTTTCCCACAGCAAGCAACAATAAGGTGATTATTGAACTGTAGACAGCCACCAGTAATAAAACCCACATGGGAGTGATAAGAGTAGCAGATAAGCAAAACCGTTTGACCCACAGTGCAGACTGCGTGCCCATCTTTGCCTTGCAACCAGACTACTACCAGACTGCTACCCTTTTAAATGGTTCTCAATACACGCAGTGGTCGCACTACCATATATACCCCAGCCCAAAAAGTGAATGGGCATTTTTCGTACACTGGTTAGAAATTTGTACATCTCGATTGCTCCTGCCTGCTTCATTTCCTACTATTTTAACAAGCTCTATCTTATTGACATTTGTACATGCAATTTAGTTTTGTGCAACACATTTTATATACGAAGAAGTTTAATGTTGAATCTTGGCGGCTGTAGCCTTATACGCTTTGTCCGGTGCACTACTTGGTTTTTCTTTTCTTTTTTGAGGAAAATTTAAAGATCTGCAAGGAAAAAATGCTACAACCACTTCTTCACAAGAAGGGGTTGAATTGGAAGCAAGGACAGCAAAACTCGTTTGATCATCCACTACATGATTCAACCTCTAACATACTAATGTTCTATTTTTATATATTCACCGGATTTGGGGAGAGACATGGGTACTTAACCACCAACCTGCTTCATTGTTGCTCGTTGGTTACGAATTTTTTTCTCTTTGCGTTTTTGTCACTCTGCAATATCTACAAAGAGCCAAAACCAGAGTCAACTTAAAAGGCTCCAGTGGGTGGAAGTTTTGATTAGATTGAGCAAAGTTTGAGAAAAAGCAAAGATTTTCTGATTATCTTAGAATTGAGGGTTAAGACAGAACGCGGAAACGAGGGTAGCTCAGCAATAAGGGGAAACACACACTTGTATGCAAAGGGTCTAAACCTCGTCTATACTTAGGCTCCCTTTTTTTCATAGGTCAAGTTAAGGCAAATACCGACGTAATAGTGCATCTCTTATATTGTAACATAGTGCAGTCGCGTCCCTATTCTCTTTCAGCCCAGATTAGGTTAATAACACAAAGTGCAAAAAAAGAAAAAAGATTCTAAAAGAACAGGAAGGATAAATAACTATTAGAAGCTATACCNGGGGGGGATAGTTACTTCAATCGAGGTTTGAAAATTGTTCTAGAAATGGGTGAAATACAGGCTGATGCTGATGCTGATTCTCTTTTTTTTGACGATGTTAATGGGGTGGGGATCTCAGTCGAAAACGTGAAACTCAACCAAGGAAGTAACAAATTTCCCACGATTGTGCCTATAAGGAACTACAAAAACATCAAGCAGTTGTAACCCTTGCTTTAATGACAAGAATGCATAATACTACCATAAACAATGCCAACGCATCTTTTGCATTGTGTAATTTGTAATTGATTTTTGACAATGCCAGAGAAGGCAACCCTGAGGATACCATTGTGACTTGAGAAACACAAAAAGCCAGCCACTGTCCTAAAATTCTCTATTGATACAAATTAGTTGTTGATAGCTTTCCCTGTATGCTAAACACAAACATGGTAAGGTTACTTTCGATTTTGGAAATAGTGTAGAGGGTAGCAAAGATGCACATGTGGTCATTGGTCTTTGTAGTTCCATCAATAACAATTGCCTGGCAAGTGTAAATCAGCTAATACGAGGAAGATCGTTAGGGGTGTTAGTTGTGTTTTGTGACCATTAAGAAGTGTTGAAGCACTGATACAAGTCTTTTGTTTAAGAAGGCTGTAATTTTGCTGGTAGGGTATTTGTGCAATTTTGGTATTACATGAATCAAAACAGGTGATAAATCTAAGGCAAAATTAGTGTAGTGTTTGGAAAGTTTACCAACGGTATACTAGATGGTAAGGGTACTTCATGCTAGGCGGTAAAACTATCACACTCCCTTCATTAAATCACAAGGCGAAACTTGTGCGTGAATCAATTACATTCTTGCGTTGTAATAACTAATAATGCAAGTGTGTAACTCAAACCGTGTTTGCTTTAGGCCTAACAAATGACATTACATCTATTGGATTTGGCGTCGGCAAAAGTTTCGTGTTTTTTGTACTTTTCTACAAAATTGGGAATCCAAGCAGTAGCAACTTGCAACGAGGTTGGTTGTAATTATATCTCAAAAAGTATTGTTTCTTGTGTCTTGTAATAAAATTTTCCACTATTGTGTCTTTTCCCTCCGTTTGGTTTTGTTCTGATTCGCGTCTAAAACTCCAGCCATATGAGGAAAAATACTCAATGTGAGGACTTAACAAGGATAGCCTAATTGTGAACAACATGCCATTTACTAACAAAGAAGTAAAAACTAGAAAGAATTAATCTTTAATAATCCAGTGCTTACTACTCAAATTCTCTTATGGTAAAATTGTGTAAAGCTGAAAATTGTGTATTTACTGGTACGTGAATAACTTAACTAGCACCTCGCACCTTTTTTGTGTCAAAAGAAGACCACCACTTCTCTGGAATGTACCAACATTCCTGTGGTTTTCAAAATTGCCTACTTTAGTAATACAAATCTATGTGTCAGCTCCATTAATCAGGTCAAACTGAACGCTAAAAATGGTTGTTCATATTGATATGAGATTAAAAGTTTGTCAAACCTTTGTAACAAAGTATTCACAAATATGTTAACAAAAAAAGGCCCATACTGTAGCATCATTTGTTTATAATTCAAAATGTTCTTGGTATATACTATCCCCGCTGTCCAATTAGCGCCCTTGTAGAAATTTGCACAGTTTTCTCTGATTCTGTTCCATCAATATCCCCCTCGGTAATGCACAAAGAGGTAACTGGCTCTCAGATTATAATCAATTTTAAGAGAACCAGCATTGAACGTTCTAGGCTTGCTAGAAGCAATTGAAGCATATCCTCAATTAGAAATTTTGTTTCTTCCTTTGCTGATTCTTTTATAAGCTGGCAAATCTTAGAGGTACGGTGGGTAATATATTGAACAACCACCAAGACGATTATCCTTCAAAGCAGTTCCAAAAATCGCACCTCCCTTTTCGAGACGTACATTTAGTAATTCTAGAAGCAAACTCCTTGCTGAATAGAGAGACTAATTTAGTAATTGCAAGTTTTATTTCCCCATTGTCCCCTCGGAAATTAATTTTGAGCTTTAGAAGTATTGTATTTCATTCACTAAATTTAAGTCTCATTGCAGAGCACTAGTAAATATACCCTCGGTTTTGGAAAAAGATATGCATTAATTTAGACTAATTTTTATGATATTACGTACATAATATCATTTCCGGTCTAAGTATATTAATTACATGCATAAATAACCCTCGAAAATAAAAATACCGCCTGTTGTCAAGGAGTTTATGCCATATGTGCTAAATTAAGTAGATGCATAGCTTTCAGTCTAGATAATATATGCACAAGATCAAGAGACACCAAATTAGAGAGCTTGCAAGAAAATGTACGATTCTAAACTTGAACTTTTGTTCTTCTTAATTTGCAGTTAGAAAAAGAACACCCTACATTTTTCATATTCCTCACAAAAGTACTCTCCATTCCTCCTTTGTGTGGTTGTAAGTTGCAACTAAAGCCTTATTTTCCTTCTTGTATTGTCGCTTAGATCTGGTTGCCAATGCAACCGCAAGTTGGTTGCAAAATCTGCCTTGGTTAAGGGAAAAAAAAAACAAAGAAAAAAAAAGAGAAACGTTGTAAAATAGAAATTTGTGGCGAGCGAAAAGAAACTACAAAAAGCACTCTATCTCTCCAATATTGCTATCTTCTTAACCTACGAATAGATATATTTCAAAGAGTTGAAGCATTTTTTTATGCCAAAAGATTTACACAAAAGCGTAATTTATATGCAGGGGATTTTAAGATCACATGCTTGCAAAAAGGCGTTTACTCTCAGAATAGCTTGGACATGTCTGTTTGAATATGAATAGAACCGCTTCATACTGCTTAAGAGAGCAAACTCCTCTCCCGCCTCAAAATGTGGTCCTCACTACAACCAATAACTGACCTTTCTTTTCAACACCGTACATTGAAATTAACATGGTGCTGGATAATACACTAGAAGGTACTGACATAAATCCAGCTTAAAAAGAATAGAAATTAAGTAGGCATTTAACTCGGGTTTCGATATGACAGATTGTGCGCGGGTATTTTGCATCCACAGTTTTTCTTTATAGGAAAAGTGCGCATCAGTCCCCGTGGAAAGAAAATTTAAAGAAGCGCGGGTTTTTATGGAAAGAGGTAATTGTTTGCAGTACTAGAACTTGCCTTTACTTTCGCATACACAATTTCTATAGTGGCTCATTGTCTTCTAAGTGAGTAAATCCTTTTAGAGGTAGTCATTCTCTCAATAAATGTTATTGAGTCGTGTACAACAACAAAAAGCAAGATGAAAGCAAAAGGCTAGGTCGATATTTCTCGCGGAGAAGAGTAGGTCTAAAAAAAAAGGGGGAAACAAAATTGTGCGGATAATTATATGGAATGACCAATGCAAACAATATACATTATTGCATCCACAATACAAAATAGTTGGACCCCGCGGTTTTTCTAACACAGTCTAAACTAGAGCTAGTTAGTACCAATTGAGCCGTTTTCTCATAATTCACGCATCATCAGCTTTGTCACAAAACCCGAAGTTAATCACATTCCTTTTCACTCCTCATAGTCGTCAGCAGAATCCATAAACTTTCACAATAACTGTAACCACAAAGTCCTAAGAACTTTTCATAAATTAAGCCATTTAAACTTTGTGTAAAAGGGAACAGCTGTCTGTGATTTAATATAAATAGTGATGGTTGAGCCCCGACACACAAGTAATTTTAGTGGTCCTATTTGACAGGTAGATATAACCGAAACTCAATCTAGAATTGCTTTGACTCCTGCTCCACACATAATGTCTAATGTCAACACCACTGTTTTTGCTTGCAACTTCTGCAGCAACACCAACGACTCCAAACAAACCCCCAACATTTCCTTGTTGTTTATCAAAATAGAAGTTGATGGGGAGATTAACAAATTTTTATACGTTGCCAAGAGCTAAGTTTTGGTAATTGCAATGTGTTTCGCACAACAACTTAGGAAGCCTGATTTTTTTTCAATTCATTGCTATTGTTGATTTACGTCGTTGGTCACAACAGGGATTGTGACGCAGCGTTTGTGTATAGTTGATTAGTTTTTAGAGATTTTTTAATATTATTGTTTCAGATAGCACACTGTGCAGTTTAGACCACTGGCGTCGTTGTACAAGCCTGGATGATTTTTGCAAACAGTGTAAAGTTGAATCGAAGTGTACGTAATCTTCCTCTTGAATCTATTTTCCATCCGTCCTGCGAGGGAAGTGTCATGCACACTTGTGATATCTCAAAGAATTTCCCTCTTTGAAAAAGGTGATGAATACACGAGGAATGCGCTATCGTTACAATATATACCGGTCGTATCGAACCTGAGGAGAGAAATCAACAGAGACTACACTAGGGATCAAAAAACAAAAGCTGAGAAGAAGAAAAAAATTATGTGAGATAGACAGGACTCGAACCTGCGACCGTTGGATAGTTCACATACATGATTGGAATCCAAAACTCTACCAGCTGAGCTACTACCCCAAAATTTCAAAAAAATTCAATCTAGAATAAGCACAACAGGTTGTTAGACTACTCTATTAGGAAATCTTTGAGCGGCTTTTGGAAGTTTGATGCCGATATATTTTGAACCAGAATTAGCTACAAAGGAGTCTAAAAGACAGGTCTTGAGATATTATTGATTTTTCAAGGACTATAGGGGTAATCAAAACCAAGTGGAAGAAACGGACAGGATAGATGCATATATGCTACATCAAATTGGCGTGGAGCAATACACACATCATACAGACGAAACACCGTTGCAAACGTGTTCAAGTGCTTCAACGAGGTTAAGCGCCGATGTCAGTGGAATAACAGAACTTGTACTTTTTCCTTCGATCTTCACTATTATCAATTCTGTCAATGTTTATCCAGTGGTCGGTTAATGCAGTAGGAAAATACAACTGCACAAGCAATGGGGACCAAAAAATTCCTTATCTAAATTGGGGTTAATTTATTTCCATGGTGGACTTCCTATTTCAGCGAAAGTCGAGAGATCAGACAAAAAAAAAAATTAATGTTGCATTGCTTTGGGAAACATTGTCTTCAAAATTCAATCAAAACCTTTGCTTCCTTTTCGATACTTTTTCTTTACAACAGCAACAACAACCACAACCCCCTTCAGCAATGGTTAGAGCAACAATCAAGTCAGGGACAATCAATATATTAAACACCATCATTGGTGCGGGGATCTTAACGATGCCATATGGTCTTCGCGCGAATGGACTATTATTTGGCTCCATTTTGATTCTATGGTCAGCTTGTGCTTCGGCTTTTGGTCTTTACTTGCAAAACAAAGTTGCCCGATACACAGGACAGCGAGGCTCGGTGTCGTATTTTAGTCTTGCTCAGGTGACGTATCCAAAATTGTCCATTGTGTTTGATTCAGCCATTCTGATCAAGTGTTTTGGTGTTGGTGTTTCTTATCTCGTTGTTATTGGTGATTTGATGCCCAAGATTATGGAGACTTTGGAAGTGAGCCCCGATTCGATTTTCATGAATAGAAAGTTTTGGATCTCGGCATTCATGGCATGCATTGTGGCACCTTTGTCGTTTTTGAAAAAATTGAGCAGTTTGAAATACACCAGTATTATGGCATTGTTTTCCGTTGCTTACTTGATATTCTTGGTGGTGAGCAGCTACCTTGAGATTGCTGCTGGTGTGGAGAAAGCACACGATTTTGGTGTCGAAAAGTTTCACCCATTTCCAGCCAAGCATATTGATTGGTATGGGCCATTGAGCTGGAAACAGACATTGAGTTCTTTCCCCATGTTTGTGTTTGCGTATACTTGTCATCAAAACATGTTTGCTATTATTAATGAGTTGCAACCGGACGAGAAAGATGGGTCGCAGACTAGACAATCTAATTTGATCATTCGTAACTCGATATTAACTGCATTGGCCAGTTACTTGATTGTTGCTGTGTTTGGGTACTTAACCTATGGTAATGAGGTTGAAGCAAACATCATTGCAATGTACCCTCGTGATTCGATTAGCACTTTGATTGGAAGATTGTGCATTGTAGTTATGGTTAGTTTATCTTTCCCGTTACAATGCCACCCTTGCAGAGGATCTATAAACCATGTTTTACACTTTATCAGCCAGGGTGTTGAATCAGCAAAACTCAGACACTTGCATAAACGTAATCGTTTACTAGACAATGCAGGAGGCGGTAGTGGCTACTCGTCCACTGCTGCATCAGATGCTGAAAGCGTCAATTCTTTTGCAGATCTTACTGCGGTTTCGTCAATCGTCTCAACCACGCCAATGGAAGGTGCTCGTGATACTGCGGGCCATGCGCCAATCATTGTTCCCATGTCAACTAGAAAATTTTACATCATCACATCTGCCATTGTTGTGCTCAGTTATGTAGTAGCACTTTCAGTTACATCCTTAGCAACTGTTTTAGCATTTGTTGGAAGCACAGGCTCAACATCCATTTCATTCATCTTGCCAGGGTTGTTTGGCTACTTGTTAATGAAGCCATTGCACCCCGGTAGCAAGCTTTCACCTTTAGAAAAGTTTTGCAAATACGGTGGGTTATTCATGGTCATCTACGGATTCTTTGTTATGATTGTTTGTCTTGGAACAACTATAATCTTGGGGTAAGAGACACACATAGACGTTTGTAAAATAGTGTATAGAATGCCAAAATCGTAAAACCACAAAATCCTGCGAAGAAAAAAAAAAAAACAGAAAAATGAAGAAAACAGAAATCGGACTAAAGCTACTCCCTCTTCCATCACCAAAATGTCCTTCTTGAATAGTTCACCTTCCACATCCAGTGCATCAAGCACAGCCACGGGGCAGGAGTTGGTCAATGATATTTTAATCAATAATCCACCAGAAGATTCAATTGAGGATATATCCTTTTCGCCACAACAAGATCTCCTCGCTGTTGCTAGTTGGGACAAGAAAGTTAGAATTTACGAGATTGATCCCAACACGGGAAACAACCAAGGAAAGGCGCTTTATGAACACAATGCACCAGTGTTTTCCTCTCAATGGTCGACCGATGGGACTAAAGTTGTCAGTGGTGGGGCCGATAATCAAGTCAAAATATTCGACCTTGCGACGCAGCAGCAACAACAAATTGGCCAGCATGATGCACCAGTGAGGGCGGTGAGATACGTTGAATGTGGGCCAACTAATACACCAGTAGTTGCAAGTGGATCCTGGGACAAGACTTTGAGGTATTGGGACATGAGGTCCCCAACTCCTGTCAGTACAATCAATCTTCCCGAGAGATGTTATTGCATGGATGCATCGCAAAAGTTGCTAGTTGTTGGATGTGCTGATAGGCACATTAGTATAATTGATTTGAACAATCCTCAACAAATATTCAAAACAAGTCAATCGCCTCTAAAGTGGCAAACTAGGACTGTTGCTTGTTACCCTCAAGCCAACGGTTTCGCTATTGGATCAGTTGAAGGTAGATGTGCAATACAATACATAACAGAAGCTGAGCAAAAGAAGTTTGGATTCTCATTTAAGTGCCATAGAAAATCGGGAACGAGTTCTACTGGAGGAACCTTGCCTCGTACAACTGCAACTAGCTCAAGTGAATCACAGGCATTTCCAGTAAATGCCATCTCATTCCACCCAGTATATGGTACGTTCAGCACTGCTGGGTCCGATGGTACCTTTTGTTTTTGGGACAAGGATGCCAAGCAAAGATTAAAACTGTTTCCCGAATTGCCAGGCACGGTGACATCAACGGCTTTTAATAAGACGGGGTCTATATTTGCGTACGCGGTGAGCTATGACTGGTCGTTGGGATTTCAGGGCAATAGGCCGGATTACCCAACCTTTATAAAGCTACACCCAACCAAGGATGTCGAAATTAAGCAAAAGAATAAGAGGTAGCTGGTGATTAGACGAGGCACTTCAGTTATGGAGTCAATGGTTAGGCAAGATGTTTTTTTAGGTGAGATTTGTATAAATAAAGGTACAACCAAACATGTCTAGATCAAAGCATGGTATTGTAGGAGGTAGCAGTGGTTCAACCAAGTAGGTGGAGGTATATCACAGTAAGAGGAGGCCCGTCGTCGGTTTTAGTTAGTTCAACCAACAACCATTGGGCAACCAAAAGCACAGGTTTAGCTAAGGAAGTGGCCTCTTGTACATACATCATGATACAGGGGAGATGATAGGTTGGAACATGAAGAATATCGAGTAGTTTTGTGGTGGCTCTTTCTAATTACTACGGGGAAGACAATTGTCAATGTGAACCGCCATTCAACAATTGACTTTTGATCGACAAAGTGACTGCTGGGTACAACACTCATTCCTTCCCCTCTCCATGTCCTCGGTTAAATCGTTAATTGACAAGGGCTCTACAATTAGCTGTCTTCAAAGGGACACACACACATACACACACACTTTTTTGTTATTGTTTTTATTTTTGTACCCGGTTTTTGCCGTACCCCACATAAATCGTCATACCCTTGATTCTCCGAGGCACACTACGGCAGTTACAAGAAACCACAAAAGAAAACAAAGGTGTATACGTAATCGTTGACTCTATATGAAGTGGCAAGTTTGTTGCATATAGAACATTGTACACGAAACATTAGTGGACAATAAAAATAGAGATTGGTTGCAAACACACCAAGACATAATGTGAAGAACTTATTGTTCATTTAATGGTTCCCACAACGATGCCTGTGTGGAAATAAAAAGACAGAGGCGTTGACAAGCAAAGCTGCTCTTTAAACAGGAAGTAGATTTCTCTACCTCAATAAAGAGAGATCATTCAATGTTTATATATATTAAATTTATAACACTAACCACCAAGGTAATACGAATTCCGGTTAGATATACAACCGAGATCAATTCTAAAGAAAAAAAAAAAATATAATATAGCTATACAAACGTTTCTATGGAGCATTGGTACATTCCCAATCAGTAGGATCATAAGTATCAGGTTGGTCAACTAGTACTACTTCTGAGGCTGTGATGTTTATTGTTCTTGCCTTTGCTGTTCCTTCTAGAAGGGACTACAAAACTTACACAATTATAACCATTTCTCTCGGTAGCTATTACAATAGTTATGCAATTGTCCCCATTTTACCGATTTGTGCGTGTGTGT